ATCAATCTTATTTTTACAACTTACAAATATCTGAGTCCAAGGAAATTTGTATGAACAGCGAAGCCGTTCAAAAAGCCATTTTTTCGTGAATTAAAATATGTTCTAATTTTCAATTTAAAAAAATTTTAAAACTTTACTAATTGATTTTACAATTTAAAAAAAAATTAATTAAATTTAATAAAATCTCTGGAGAGACAAAAGAAAAGAATGATGGACTCCGGATCCATTTTCAGATGTATTTAAATTGGAACTTCATGAAACATATGGAGATAACGAACAGTATTCAAGATTAAAATTCCATAAAACAATTCAAAATAGGTGCAGAACAAAAATGGACCTCCAAAACATCGGAGGTAGGATCAGGTGACATGGAAGAGTAAGAATCCCCTGCCGACCGTTCACACCCGCCTAGTGCTCTTTGTCATGATCGGGAAATAACGGAAAAATCCGTCGTCAATTTAGTGTATAAGTAATGGACTAACAATTAGTATGAAAAAGGTCAGTCTGGATTTGACTCAATGATAAAATGTATTTGCTGACAAGTATCGTCATAGTATCGACCACAGAACTCAGGAAATGATGACTTTAAACGAGACAGCGGAAATTCTTGTTTTATCAGCTTGTTTGTCAATAATTTACGTTTTAGAAATTGTTTATACGTAGAGCATAATGCTCATCAATGTAAAAATATTTTTTCTGGATATGCAATACCCTGCTTTTCATTTTAAATATCAGATTCATATAAATGTATTTGTCGACAGTATCTTTATATCATAACCTTCATATATCCCCGACTGTCGAGATTGTTCATTACTTTCATACTTCTACCAAACCGAACAGCAAAATAAGTCAAACCAAACGGGAATGAAAATTTCAATTAATATCATTATAAAAATATATACGCGTAATAAGAGTAATGTATTCCTGTTGTTTCAACCAGCTGTTCTGTCATTATATCTCATTAGGTGGTAAAAAACATAATGCATTTTAACTGAAAGAAAGAAAAATAATTTTTGACAAATGAGAGTACACTATGTGATTTTTTTGAATTCTTTATTTTAATGTGTTTTATCATTTTCACCACCGAATGATGTATATATTCAACGTTTTCTTTATCTAGAGCCCGGTTAGCTACATGTGTTTATAGAGAATGATCGTATTTTACAGAGAGCAAGACAAAAAGAAAGTAGATATTTGCATGAACGCATGCAATTTACCTGTCATTTACCAATTTACCGACAGAGAAATGTCATTTAAGCAATATGTGAATAGTAGATGCTGAATATCAAAATGGGGGAAATAATGAGCTATAAAATGGCATTAAGCCGAATAAAAGCTCAAAACATGCATCGACCCCTACAGATATTTTCTATTTGAATGACATCTTTAAGTATTTTGTTTTTGTCCATAATGCTTAAACTATCATCTACCTTGGAGTGGGCATAAACTTAAAAGTCCTAATACAATAATGATAATAATCTTTTTTGGATTAGAGAACATTTACAACTGACCAAGGGACGATACATGAACATATATAAAATTAACTACAATTTACAACTGCAATTCAACTGGTCCTTTATTTGAAGATATTTCAAATAATACCATCATGAAAGGATGTTTTATAACAAATTTGGTTTGAATAGGTCAAGGAGTTACAAATTAATATGAAGTATATGGAGATAACGAACAATATTAAAGCTCAAATGTCCATTAATCAATGTAAATGTTGGAGCTGAGAAAACACGAACCTTTAAAACATTGGAGATGAGATCAGGTGTCATGAAGGAGTGAGCATCCACTGTCGACCGGTCATACCCTCCATATGCTCCTTTGCATGATTGGAAATTTACGGAAAAATCCGTCAACAATTCAGTGTGTAAATAATGGTCTAACGAGTAGTATGTAAAACGTCAGTCAGCATCTGTCTTAATGACAGATTGTATTTGCTGAGAAGGTCTTTGTATCGACAATTGAACTTACAAAATGGTGAAATTAAACGATACATCTGTAATTCTTGTCTCGTCAACTTTTTTGTTAATAACAGAGGATGCTTTATCCCCATAGATACCTGACCAGTCTTCTATAATTTTCAAAGTCTGTGTTTTATACCCTGTTTGAAGACTTGAATTGCTTATTTTTAGATTGATCACCATTCGTTATCTTCATCTTTTGCATCAGGAATTTGAGAGGCAGTTAAAACTCAAATACTGGAAACATTGAGATCGGGAAAAATGTGTCTGTTTTAGGGAAAGCCTGTCGAAAAAGGAACAATAACTGAAGGACCTTGAAATTACCAATTCATTGTGAACCCAAAACAATTATCTTAGTAGATTTTCGCGCAATTGGCCTTTAGTGTTTATTTCTGTTTATTGATCATGAATTGAAGAATTTACTATTTTATGTGACTCTATCAAAGTTGTGAGTCATTTGTTTCAAACTTTCCACATTGAAGTTAATGAACCAAAATCATCTTAAAAATATTTTACAAATATATCTGTAAAATTGTTCACGGGTCATACTTTACTCAAGAAATTGAAATATTGTAAATACTTTTCATATCAATCTAAACTATTTCGTTATATAGCGCAAGTTGTCATATGTACATATATACGTGGGAGCACTTTTTTCTGTACTTTTCTTTTATCTGCATACAACTCTTTGAAATTTACAGGCTTCCGCCCTCAACTAGACGCCTTGGTTTAAGTACATTATCAACCTATTGCGTGTTGTTAAATACATAAACACTGTCTGATTAAAACACGCATGTGTAAGCATATAAAATACTTCTAAGACAACATTAATATAAAAGAGTTTTGTAAGTGATGGTTCCTGTAAAATGAATATAAAATTCAAGATTAAAAACAAATATGTTAAAACATTATAAAAATAGAACGAAAACTGCACTAGTTGAAAAACGACCTATGTACTTTGACTAATTCGCCAGGGCCATTTTTGATCGTGTCTAGTCTATCAGCATAAAACGCATTCAAAATATTGTTCATGAGACTGGATCTTTCATTCTCATCAAGGTTATACTTTCTTACGTTCACTGAGATTTTCGAGGCAGTATCCTATATATAAGTACAAATATCGATTTCAAAGCTTATATAGTAATGTTTGAATTATTCTCAAAGTAAAAAGTTTTTATTAAGTCTAGCTTTCCCGTTTCATCGATTTCTAAATAACTCGCAGTACTTAGCTCTTTGATCAAAAATGCTTGTTTCACACATTTTCAGAACATAAAACAAATAAAGTGAGTTTTGGTGTGAATTAATTTCCTTGGTGTCTAAATATGACAAAATTAATAAACGAAACTAGATTGGAATTGTGTGTTGTGTGATTTATTGCAGAACCGCTGAAATGGCTCGCACGTTTGGTCATATTCTTACTTTTGTTCATTGGTACTTAATTTATGATGATATTTCAGCTATGTTTTCATTAAATTCATTTTTTTTAATATTTAAATATACACTGCTTCATTTCATAACAGAAGACCTTTTATGAGCATTGTTTTGGCTGACATTCTAATCAACAATATCAAAACAACAATAGAGCTCTACTCTAGGAAAATATTAGGTGAAAGACAATATTTCATAATTTCATTAACATAGAAATTGTCTTCTGCAAAACTAAAATATAGGTTTCAAAAGTCCTTTTATCATTTTATCGTATGATCATAAGTAAACATCGGAGATTTCCGTTTAAATACTGAACATCCATAGCTTGGATTCCATACAAAAGTTGACAACTCTTGAGTTATCAATTAGATTCCTTTGATCATGTATAATTAACTTCAACATCCTTAATATTAAAGTATTAAATGAAAAGAAAGTATTTTTTTACTTGATGGGAATTGTATTGGAATTTTTTTCCCTCAAGAATAAAATCAAACCTTGAGCAAAATCGCTTGTGCCACAAAAAAGAGTAGTGATTTTTGTCTCACATCATTTTTCATTAATTATAACTCAAAGGTAAAAATTACTTTACGTGAAAGGGAAACTTCAGACATACTGTGCTAAATCATACTTTTGAAATCAGTTTAATTGAAACTTCGAAGATTGTTGAAAATTTGATATAAAACTTCGAAGAAGTTTCAGGGAATTAATAATCATCATTTTTGTAAAGTCAATAACAGCAAAACATACGACATTTCATACATCTTTTAAAAGGATTCCTCACGATTAATCAAAAATAGTGGATTCGTAATCATATTCAGTTACTCCTTCAGTAAAAGTGGAACTCGAAAATATGAATGAAGTATTCTTGAAAGGAACATAAAACAATGTAAAATCAATTAATCAAAAAACATTAATTACTCTTATTCTATTCACAAGTACTCTGAAATAGAATTTAAAGGATGCTGGACTTTCTCATAAGCAACATTAATTGTAATCTTTGGAGACCTAGTCATAAAAATGTAGACCTCCAATGAACCCTTATTGAACTATTTATTTTTCCTATCTGATTTTATATTCCAACAAGTATAAATGATTTACAACTTTCACATGAGAATGAGAAAACTTTTGCGGTGGATCTTCACTCGTAAGTAACATATAAAGGTGATGTTAAACAATTTTTACTTCCATTCATGTATCGACTCCATGTATCACATATTAAATTAATTTATCGATTATCAAATTTTCAAACAAATTAAGAGACATAAAATCAAAGAATGACCAAAACAATCGATTTTAAATACAAAAGATATATGTAAAATTTCACGACAAATCAATATAAATACATAATACGCCAAACAAAAAGAGAAAACGAGGGGTAGTTTATTCTGGGAGGTACAGAATACTTAAAATGGTTTGTCAAAACTCTACTCTTTCTTTACGTTATCTTATCATTTAGTTAAATTGTTTTATTTTGGCATTTTCTCTTTAAGAATTTATGAAAATAAATCGTATGCATTCTTTTATTAAAAGAAGACATTGTATCGTGGATCATTAATTTTCAAACATCCGGAAATAAAAAAAATAATCCTAACGCTTTTGCAGTGTATGGCATGCGGACCTGGATTGCAGGGACAATGTGTAGGTCCTGATATTTGCTGCGGTCCTTTCGGTTGTTATATGGGTACCTCTCAGTCAAGTGTATGCGAAAAGGAAAATGAAAGTACTGTTGCCTGTGCTGTATCAGGTCCTCCGTGTGGAAGTCACAATCAAGGAAACTGTGTTGCAGACGGAATTTGCTGTGATCCAGGTAAAAAATATTGTGCAAATACGAGAATTTTTAATAATAAAGAAGTAATAAACGTTCAAATTTGACAGACATTTCAGAAAACATGGCGGGAACGACATGCAAAACTATTTTATAACATGGTTGAAGGCCAAATATTCTGTGTTTTCAATGAACTAGTTCTGATAAATCAAGCAACTGTAAACAATTACTTCAGCCATTTATCGACATTTCTTAATCGTTGTTTAATTACTATAAAGAGCTATGCCTGGTTCTCATGAATGTTTATTTTCTGACATCGACGCCTGCCTGCATTAACATGTATTAATCATCTTTTTAATCCATTTACAGGTGCGTGTTCATTTAACAGCAAGTGCAAATCAAATACTGAACCAAAAGATGTACAGATTTTCTCTTTACTTAAAGCCTTGGGCCTTTTGGAAACGAAAGCATATAACAACGCTGAAATGTCATAGGGTGACGACGCAGTTCACCCGCCAGTTTTTCTCTCCCATCAGAATTTTGTCAATATTTGAAAGATGAACAGTGTTATTATTCGGAAAATTTTGCAGAATTCAAAAAGCTAAACGTGTGCTGGCCATATTGCTTTCTTCCGGTCCTAGAAATCAATCATGTTTTACCTTGACCTCTCGACTCAAGATTACACGGTGTCCGATTTCAGATTTTAACATTCCAACGAAAGGATATGTCCTTCGGACTTTATCATTTTATGTTTTCTTTTCATTTTCTTTAAAACTGACTTTGCTTTAACTTGTTAAAATACTGCATTTTATTTCATAACATTGTATGATCTCAGAGAAATAAATTCTTAGTATCTTTTCATTTTGTTTTGCTTTGTATAATATCAAGAGTTCAACTTCAACCAACAACTTAACTGAGCTTTCCTCATTGGAAAGTGCTCGGCGTCTCTCTGTCTGTTGCCTGCTGCTTATTGTCGGTAAACTTTACAACTTCGATTTCCACTCAAGTATCACTCGAGAAGTAGTACTAGACCAGTTACAATCACACTTAAAAACAAAGCATAAAAAAGTTATAGAATCTAAGTGTATACGCTTCTTTCCAAGTGATATGACACTAATGAAATATTTGGTTGGGCCAATTTCGGGACCATAGAACACAAAGCACCCACAATGATTGTACATAGCCAAAAGACCTTAATGTTGGCATAGAAGGTTGAGATGTTACATTAAACTATAAGAAAATCTTGAAATTATTCTTACACACATTTAAATCACAGTTGATTTACTATACAAGCACATTCTTCCCCTTTAGTAAAAATTTCAGATTTTTCAAATCTCAATTTGTATTATAGAAAAACCTGTGGGTATAAAGACTTACAGAAATGGATATATGGGAACTGTAAGAGGCGTTTCTTTTATTTTGGCAGATCTACAGTCATATTTAGTTATACTATGAAGTAAGCATTTCCTTTTTGTGTATATTAAAATATATTAAAATCCTGTCCCCCCCAAAATCCGACAGCTAAGTTTCACAGAGATACTGAGTATATAAAATATAGGAGTAATCTTTTAGATATTATCTTTCCAACATCTATTTTAAGACTACAATGAATGTGGATCGGGGGTATGCTCACTCCTCCAAGGTACATGATCCAAACTGTGATGTTTTAGAAGTCTTTGGTTGCACTTCTCCTGATTTGGTTTGTTTGAATGGACCTTTGAGCTTGAATACTATTCGCTATCTCCATATCTTTCAGTAATTGTATCGAAAACGAAAAGATAATTCTTCACAGTTATCTACAATACTTAAAAATGTTACAATCTTAATCTTAAATTGGTGACTTTAGAAAATGGTCCCAGTCTTTAACTTAAATTGTATGTTACTTAGGTAAGTGTTAGGGCCCATGAATCTCATCTACATCGAATCTGTTGCAAAACTAAGAAGCGTATTGTTTTTTTTAAGGTTGTCGTTTCCAAATCAAATTTTGGTTTTTAATATTAATTAAATATTCTAATTTTACTTTTGACTTTACAATTTTTTTCTTCTTTAAAATTGACTGTTCCAACTTTATCATTGTCTTTTCCAACTTTGAAAGGACATATCCTTTATGTTGTATATCGAATTGATATATTCAGTACAATTGTCCTTGTAGTTGAGTCATCCTTAATATCAAACATCTAAAATAGTCTCATTTGATTTTCTCTTAACTATGCAGGATTAAAATGCTTTTAATAAAGAAGTTGTATGACATTATCGTTTTTTAAATTTTATAATAAAGATTTAACTTTCATAAGATTTACCAAAAATATGGAAAAAGCCAAGCTTAAAATTGGTAAAAATAACTTTAATGTTGGAATTAATTTTCAACTTCAATGTTGAAATTATAACAACCTTAAAATTTGAAAAGCCAAATTTAAACTTGGAATCACCATGTTAAAAATACCTTAATTTGCACTTTAACTTAAAATGTAGAAGATCATTTCTTAGATAAAAGATTTTGAAACTATGCTGTTGATGCAGGACAACGATATATGAAAAGAACATGCTAAATATGTAAACTGAATGAAAAAAAAAACTGAACAGTAGAATTTCTTTGTGTCTATAGCAATTTTTGACAGTGACCAAGAAATGCTATAATTTTTTTCAAATTGCAATACGCAGATTGCCCTTTTTTCAAATTATCATACTTATCAATCAAAATAACTGTTCGAATAAGAAGGAAACCTTTTTTCCAAAAAGGTGTTTTACACAAATTACTGAAGACACTGATAACAAAGGGGATGTATTTGCCGTCGGGGGATATGAATATCTGGAAAAGAAATGGCTGAATCGAAAATTACTAGTAAGCACGATTCTACAAATCCCTCGAAAAAGAAAGCCCTCCTTCTCATTATTCTTTCTTGTCAAAAATCACTCTTGTAAAAATGCAGAGTACATTTGATAGTCTCTATAATTAGGTTCTCACTGTTTCCATTTAACCTTTTACAAAGGAAGAACATGGTATTGAATGAAAAAGAACATTTCCGCATTGAGCTGTGAGGTATTTTTGTGAGTATTAATAGATAGGGATTGTTCATGTCCATCTTTTTGTAAACTTGATAAATGCACTACAGTTGATAAATTGATTTTAAATGGATAAAAAATATAAATATTTAGCTCCAAAACACGCCATACAAAGCAAACAAAAATAAATAATATTGAAATACTGTAATTTATTCATAAAATAAAAAATATCCTGTCACAGTGTGAAAGGATATCTGATATCCTGTCACAGTGTGACGAATATCAAAAGTAAATGATTTGAATTGAAATAAATAAACCATTCTGACAGCGAATAAAACTGTCAAAATTACCTTTTTGTCAAATTATATAATTGAATAAAATTTACCATGTATTACAAAAAAGAAGGCAAAGGAAAAATCAAATTTTTTTTTTAAAAATTTAAACAGAAAATTCATATGGAATTTAAAATAAAATATCACACATGTTGAAATTTTCAATTTTACAAAACATTGAATATCCTCTATTTCTTAAAAACCACCTCTTTTTGTTAACGCAAAACTTCAGATTTATGATTAAATGATTTGAATTGTTTGTACCTTTTTTATATAATTGAATAAAATTTACCATTTGAACAGCTTTTTAAATTCATAGTCAAAATAAAATATCACACATGTTGAATTTTCAATTTTAATCAGATATGCTAATTTTCAATTTTAACTAAATATGCTTATATTATGTATAAAAAAGCATTAATATTTTTAAATCTAATTATTAATGAAAGAAAATATATTTCGATATAACAAATTCAAACAATGTTATCAAAACAAAACTGTGCAATATTTTTGACTTGAAACTTAGAGTAGATTGAGAAAAAAAGTAGATGTAGGCTCTCACTGTTACGGGAAAAAAACTAAAACAGCAGTGAGAGATAAGAGGATTACACGAGCAGAGTTCTGCAGGTCGGGATATTCACTAGTTAATGGCCAAATAACAATCAACTGTAAAATGTAAGCTTAAATAAGGTAACTGTCGATAATGGCTTGTTTCTGTTAAAAGCATGTGTCGGATTTATGGTATATTTATGGATAATGTTTCTAAGAATTAAACAGTGCTCTTTCTTTCCATTAAATGAAATGAGAGAAACTTTTAGAAAGGACAGATATATTGGCACTTAATTCAGCGGTCAAACAATAGATATAATATGAAGAAACACGGCTGGTCGTTCTAGATTCAAGACAGCATTTGACACAGAAATGGTCAATATCTGATAAGAGTTATCGTTCGTGCCTCTCCTGATAGAAGAAAGTTAGAAATGATATGACATAATTTCTTATTTCTTCAAATAAAGATAGCCTTTTCATGACAATCATACATGTAATGTAACGACAATTGAATTAAAGTGAAATATGGAATTTACAAACATTATTCAAGCTCAATATAGTCTGTTTAGAAATATAACTCAAGAGCAGAGCAAACACAGACCTATAAAACATCACTGGTGGGATTGAGTGCCATGGAAAAATGAGCGTCCCCTGCCAATCGGACACACCCGTCTTGTGCTCCATGTCATGATGGGGAAATATATAGGGAAAATCCATCGACAATTTAATGTATAAATTATTGCTTAATTAACAATTACTATGAAAAACCTCCATCGGCGTTTGACTTTAATGATAGTATAATTATTTACCTCCTGTTAGAAATTGTTTACTCGTAGAGCATTTTCTTGCGTATCAAATTAACAGAGATATAATCCCAATTTGCAAGTGGTAATGTTATATTGCTACATAGTTAAGGAAAGTTGACGATTGAAAAATTGAAGTCATTACGTTCGTCATAACACTTTGTTCTTAGGTTCCCATTAACGTCTTCTTTTACTAAAATACGTAACAGATAAGTCAGACTCAATAGTATCTTTAATTTCAAAATCTTTACGATATATTGTGTTGAAAGTAACTATGATATTATAAATTGATTATTCGTCAATATACGAGGGGTTATCAAAAAGCTCGTGGACTGAGGCTATAAAATTAGTACTATGTTGTCTGAGCTTACAAAATTTATAAGGTACAAAAAACAACAAAAAATAAAGAAATGATGAAAATTTTAGCTTGATACGTTTATTAGTTTATTATAAAATAAAAACGACATTATATGATTACCCGGCGCCGTCGCCGCTTAGTTTCATGACGTCCAACAACGTCATTATTTTCCAATGTCCGCTTCTTCTACCTCATACACTTATTTTGATAAGATTCCCTAGAGCTGAGTAAGGACTTCAAACCGTCTTGTTTTTATCACTTTACATTGTCATGAACAGCAGCTTTCAATGCATATATTATTGCAAATGGATTTATACACTGGGAGAGATCCTCGCTTGATTGTGCCAGCATATTTGTCTTTTGGAGTTCAATATAGCTAAAACACATGATCAACGTCATTATTTGACGTGATAGATTTTTCAAACCTTGACGGCTACAAATTGATATTAACTTTGCATCCCTTTTCTCTCTGAATCTATCTTGGCTTTAAAAAACAAGTAATCTGGATGCAAATTATTTCTCCGTAGCCAGTTTAAACATTTCAAAGGTGTATACCAGTTTTTCTAGGGGCAAAGCTTTATGGAATGTTGGAAAAGGACCCCCCCTTTTGACGTCATTTTCAAGGCAATATTTGTTTGGATACTCCGTGTAAAATTTACAATAAAATTTCATACAACTTCCAGAAGGAGGTAAAAATTCCATATTTTATGGAACAATAGTTCCCCAACACATTCCCGAATTAACGGGATTTTGGGATGTCAAATGTTCATATCAGAATAGTTTATCTTAGTTACACTAAAGTCGAAAAAACACGCTTTGGAGGTTGCGTCGCCTGGACATACCATTGCTTACAAAAACTTTACTAATTTGATTAAAAATAAAACTTATGATTTGTGGTTTATTCTATAGATAGAAAAGATGATGATAACTAAATATTTAAAAATTCGTTGATGTACATGTACCTAAAGCGGTTTTAATTTTATGGCGCTAGTCCACGAACTTTTTGATAGCCCCTCGTAGCTTAATGTCGAGTTGAAGGCAAAGTTTTTTCTCCTTTTCATGTAGAAAATTTAAATGAATTCTGCTTCATATGAATACAAAATAATAAAGGTCTGCTAATAACAAAGCGCAGTTGGTACCCTTCGGAATTCCGACAGATTGTTGGAAGACCTGGTCTTAAAAACCACATAGATATTGTAAAACAGAGCTCACGTACACTGTATCTTCTTAAATCAAATTCAGAGTATTTAAGTATACAATCGGAATGTTTTTTAACAAAATAATTTTGCAAGTGACCGATAACAACTAAATTTACGAGTGCCATTTTTTATTAAAATAGCGGTTGTCAATAATATGAAAATGCCTAGACTTTAATTTAACACGGAAATTTCTTCTATATAGAGTTGGAAAGTCGTAAGTTTTGATTTTATTGTTTTGTTGTTTTTTGTTGTTTTTTTTGTTTTTTGTTTTTTTGTTTTTTTTTTTTTGGTAATTGTTTTAATTTCAATTTTTCCATTTGGAATTTTTATGTTTCCATAGATGTATCTGATTTACAGCGGTTCTCAGATATATTAAATCGCACAGTGTTGTTGAAATCATTGCGAGGAGTAAAGAAAGATCCTTGGAAAATATACACTGGAGTCTGCTATGTATATACGTGTAAGTTTGTCAGATTTTTATGAAGTTTTATCGACTCTAGTATAAGAATGGTAATTCAAATTTATTTTGATTGATATGAATATATTGATATGAATATTCAAAACTGACACATGATTTTGAAGAATTTCCTTCTTAGAAAGGGAGATATATGTATGATTTTTTTTTCAGGATCTCTTTGTAAAATATTGCCGTGTAAGCAACAGACTTCATAAGTATCTTCTTTGAGTAAAGTTTAATTATCTGTGTTTTACATTGTAGTATTTATTTTTCCCTATTCGCCTAAGACACAATTGCCCGAATTTAAGATAGGACATGTTCAAACAAAGGAGTTTAATTTCTGAAACACGGTAACTTGGCGAATTTAAAATAGGGTAAATTGTTTGCAAATGTGAAAGGGCAGAAACAACACGAGGCGAAAATAATCCTATTTACAACCAAGATATGCGATTATATTTTCATTTGTTTAAAATATGGTCCCTCAGGCAAAACAGTTAAAGAAAAGACAAAAAGATAGACGTTATGTAGATTCAAATACTTAAAGTGAAAATGCAGAGTCACCTTCCGATACTTTGCATCAGCTTCATCATCGTGTACCTGAATTTGGACATACTTTAGAAAGCAGTGAGTCACGTCTGGAATAGCACTCCTCTGTTCTTATGTCTCTTGCCACTTCTCACATTAAATGATAATAAAGCAAATTACCTTCCAAAAATGAACTATGGAAAACATAAAAATCTTGTAATTGGGTCTTCGTCTTTCTGAACTAACATGACCGCCTCGTGTTTCAAAGCGGGAAACACGGTTTTCTTGCCGAAACACGAATTTTACATCACGCGCTTCCTGTGCAACTACGACACCCTAAAAAACGCTTTCTCCAACAACCGCGCTAGCGAACAGACGATAGGTATGTAAAGCTGAAAACCATTTTTCATGTGGAAAAAATATGTAAGAAAAGATCAACACTGTGCAATTTATATTTAAATTATAAGGAGCATACTGTTTTTTAATCATCTGAAACAAATCTACCCAATTTAAAAAAGGACTTCTTGAACTTGCAGAATGGCGGGCTGGGGTTGGACGTTTCTTGCTCTGTTGATGATGAATAATTTCCATCAACAAGCAACAGAAGAAACGGTACGTGAGAAACGCCAAATTTCGTACCCCATGATTTACAAAACTGTGCAGGATGCTATAGAAGAAGCCAACAGTGAACTGACGTTACAAAAACAGATAGACAGATACATGATGGATATAGGTAAAATTTTATTGATGGAATGTGTTTCAGTTTTGACAGTTCATAAAGATATGCCTAATGCTTTTCAGAAACGCATATTGCATAAAACGCATCACTATTCTGCGGCAAAATTCTTCAATGAAAGTATCAGCATTAATTAATAAGCTTGATGCAGATCTGTCAGCCTTTAAAATTTCTCCCGATCAGGATAACTAAGATTTCCTTTTAATCATGTACATGTAGATATTTCCAATTTTTAATTGATCTCCTTTTGTTCTAGCTTACCTGATAGTCTTTAATGTTCTTATATCCTTGAAAGAAAAAAAAACATGCTAATGATTTCTAACGACTCCAATCAAATAAAGAACCATCACGCAAAACTGAATTACAACTGATTAACACAAGAGTTTTTGTAAATTAACAATGACACCTTTGTTTATATTTTAAATTGGTTACAAGAAGATGATTTAACTTATCGTCAAATTAAATTAAGATCTATATTTCATTGGAGATGAAAAAATGTTCAAATGAAAAACTGCACAGTACTGTAAAAGACCATTCAGTAAATTTTTCATATTAACACATTGAATTCTTTTTAAAATTCTAAAGATTATTTTGTCTCAATATCTTTGGTGGTTTTTTTTTAAAAATACTTTTTATAATTTAAATGTCTTATAATTCAAAATTTTTTGTCAAATGGTTTGCATTTAATATACCTGGGAAATGAAATGTACAGGGTTTCGATTGAACATAAAATTGATTGAATTAGCCATGAGTCTTATTAGCTTATTAGAAACCAAGCTAATTCTATAGACATCCTTGAATTTTTTAGAATATATTTTGTCTTCACTAGGTGTCGATCATCATGAAAGAGATGGGGGTGTGAGTTTCATCTCTCACCTTGGCCGTTTCTTGTACACTAAAAATGCCGAGAAGGTCAACACCTTGTCAGACAAGGCCTGGGTAACTGTGGCAGCCACTAAAAAACTTCTCAGACGGTAAATGTCCAGAAAAAATTGAATTACAAAAATACAAGAAAAGAATTAAAAGTAGTTATGAAGAAAATTCATATGATAATTGTTTTTCTCTATGACCTTGCTACCATAAAATATACCGTATTGTAACCTTGACCTTTCGATTTACCCGCTATGTAGTCAAACAGTCCAAACTTTCTTAAATTGAAGTTTTTATGGGCTTATAAAAGTATGCAAATATACTGTGATTTTTTTTTTGGTCAGAAAACAGGCAAGATTCTCTCCTTAAATTGTGTTCAAATACTGTTGAGTTGAAAAATTCAATCATTCAAAAATACAATAATACCAATTTTATCTTCGATAACGGTAAAAATACAATACCAGTACATCACATTTTGCAGCACTGGTATGACACTCCCACAACTTAAGAATCATCCTGGTTTTGTGGAAGCTTGGAGAAGGCAGGTGTCACAGTCATGTCCATTTGTAGAGCCGAAGTGTGACCCCACTGTAATCTACCGAACCGCAGACGGCTCCTGTAATAACCTCAACGACTCGTCTGTCGGTGCTGCCTATACCAGGCAGAGGAGAATGATGGATAACGCTTATGAAGACGGTTTGTTTTAGCCTACACTATGGAAACATTTCTATAATCCTATGATTTTCTGTATCTTGGTATGTGAAAGTTTTATATATTCCTGTTTTAAACTGGATATGCATCTACTTAGAGTAGTTCAAATCTAAGAACATAATACTGAGAACAAAAGCAGACATTTTATTCATACAGTTTATATACTACAAACAAGTCTCATATTTAATTAATTACTTGATTAACATACAATACAATTGTTTCAAAACAGGAATCAATCAACCAAGACAAACCAGCGTTACTGGATGTTCTCTACCAAGTCCGCGTTTGATCAGTAATGTTATCCATAAATCTGGTCACTGTTCCCTTCCTAGCAGGCGATTCACTGTTTTAGCTATGCAATTTGGACAATTCATTGAACATGACGTCATTTCAACTCCTCTTCAACGAGGTGCGTTTTAAAACGACAAATAAAATCAAAGCCTTTTCAGAGAAATATATAATAATTACTTATTTAATTAGAATAGTATTCATAAATTTCAGGGTTTAATAGCTCGGATATTATGTGTTGTGGAATTCCAGACGACATTTTACAGAAAAGGTAAAGATCATTTGATTGTCATCTCATAAAAAAGTAAAGTTTAATTTTATCTCATAAATTCGGCGCAGATAAATTTCAGTATTTTAATTTTCAATGAAAGGAATTTTTAGAATTTTGAATGTCGCAAATTGCAAAATTTAAAATCAAAATGTTGTTTCGTCACAGATCCCAGTGTTACCCTATAGATATACCTTCTGGGGATCCTCGATTTAAAGAGCACTGTATGTCATTTGTACGGGCAACTCCAGGACTGGAGAAAAACTGTGATGCAGGTTAGTTCATATATCTCTTCGACAATCCATTAAAACAACTTTATATTATCCTTATTCGTAATCAAAATAAATTATTAAAGATCGGAGTCAATGGACGTACATGTATACTTCACAGCATTGAAAAAAACTAACTAATTTGCTTATAAGTCAAGAAAGCGTTCACTGTCCTTACTTTTCACTTTAAAACATTTTTTTTTACATTGAATCAAGATAATTTTAATATCGTCAGCACATATAGTGTTTAGTTGAAATTTTTACGTCTATCCTTTAGGAGTCAGATCACCTATGAATCAAGCCACATCTTACCTGGACGGGTCCCAGATTTATGGCGTGGATGCTGACGAGCAACTTAAACTTAGAGCTGGTGTCGGAGGTTGTTATTAGTTGTCGAAGCGTGTTATTTTAGTAAATGACACAAGATATAAAACAACTTTAAAGCCAATCTTTTGAATAAAAGGAAAATATTGAAGCTTCGAATATATGTCAAATTTGAAATGACTGATATCTAATCAAAAAGATGCTTCCTTTCTATTGGTTTGTAATTATAACCTTCATCCAAACTCGTTGCCGGGTTCTAGAAAATCAAAAGTAATATTAATTTTGTTAACATGCAAAATGATAACTAGTATAAATGGTCAATGGGTTTAATTAAGGTTTAATGAAGATGACACCATTCTCCTAACAAACAGTACACAAAGGCCTACATGTACCTGGCCTTGGTCTACACACGTCTACCTCAGACAAAACCCCATACGGAAGAAGCGATTTGTATTCAGGAAGAACCCGGAGATTACTGTTTTGGCACGGGTTAGTTTATGCTACAATAAAAAAAAATATATTCGGTACTTTGCTGACAATGTGGATGAAAAATGCTGACTCAGTGTAAAACAATAACAATATTTAAAAGCAATCAATCATTTACATTGTAACAACGAAGAAAGTTGCCATTTTTGTTTTCATGAAAAATGTCTCTCCACATTAAAACTATTTTCTCGTTATTAAAATATACATAAATTAAATTTCTAGGCGATTTTAGAGTAAATCACGTTCCCGGTTTGACTGTTCTGCATACAATATTCCTAAGACAACATAACAGAATAGCAACTGGATTAGCCCTCTTGAACCTACACTGGGATGACGAAAGAATTTTTCAGGAGACACGTAAAATAATTATTGGATGTCTCCAGCACATTGTATATAACCATCTCCTGCCAACAATTCTACGAAAAGAAGACATGGATAGGTACGGCCTATGGTCCACCGACTACGGTTATAGTCATGTGTACGATCCTTCTGAGGATGTCTCTATAATGATGGGATTTTCAGCCGCAGCCATGAGGTTCCCTCACACAAGAATTCCAAACGTTCAGTCCATGGTTAACAAAGACTACACAATTAGGCACGATGCCCCTATATTTGAAACCTTTGACAAACCAAAATTTGTCTTACAAAACCTTGGAAAGGCTCTTGCTGATTTTGGAAGATGGCTGATTTCATTTCCAGTTATGGAAGATGATCGTTTTGTGGAGGATGGAGTTAGGGATTTCCTATTCTTGGATAATAAAGGGGAAAGTTTTGACCTTGTCGCTCTTAACATTCAGCGTGCCAGGGAGCAAGGTATTCCTCCTTACAACCACTGGAGACGACTTTGTGGTTTGAAGCCTGCCTTGTACTTCTCCAACAGTCCAGGAGGTCTAGTTGATCATGAACCCGAAGTCGTCAAACTTTTATCCCAAGTTTACAAGTAGGTTGTGTAAATGTACATATATGAATAGTTTGAAAAAAATAGGTTGAAATATATTTTTAGAAATTATTTAAAAACTAAAGAAAAGTGAAATTCACTTTTAGTGAATTATAAAGTTTGAACATGAAACTTTATGAAAGTTTAAGCATCAATTATACGTCATAAGCAAGTAGAACGTAATGAATTATGTATTTATAGTGTATAAAGAAATGACATAAATTATATTTTTCAGGCACCCAGACGATATTGACCTCTTTAGCGGAGGAATATCTGAAAAAATCCCAGTTGGTGCAGCCACCGGACCTACTTTTGCTTGTATCATTGCAACGCAATTTAAAAATATCAAAGTTGGTGACAGATTCTGGTATGAAAACTACAATCCTTACACTGGCTTTACTCTAAGTAAGTTTGAAACAAAATGTTTGCAAATGTCATAATCGATTTCATCAATTTTTAAACCTTTTTCATTGTTCAAAACACTTTTCAATGAAAAATCAATCTGGAAAGGATATGTTTGACAAAATTAGACCGAACAAGAGAGAGCGTTGCAGTTAAAATTTTAAAAAGAATGATGAATGAATTGCAGATACGTATAAATGTCTCTTTCCATTATAGGTCAATTAAACGAAATTAAAAAGACATCTTTAGCTAAACTCATATGTGAGAACCTTGATATTCAGTACATCCAGCGAGATCCACTGTCTTTTGTATCAGAGAGGTAAGTCATGGCCATGTCAGATTAATATATAACTGTGAAATATACAAATAAAATTCCCAAAATAACCTTAATTTTTAACCATTTGAAGATGAGGCTATCATATCAAAATTAGAACTTTATTTTTATCCATTTAAAGATGGGCATTTCATATTAAAAATTGTAATACTAGTGTATAAATGAAAATGTTAAGCAAATATTTTGCAGACATTTATTGTTTAATTAAATAAAGCATATACATAAGTCATAACAGAATACATCGTATAACACGAATTCAAGATTTTAAATAAACAACAATTTTTGAAGAAACGTAATGATATTTTTATAATGTACTTTCGATTAAAGAAATCCCAGGGTCCCTTGCAAGTCACTTCCGGGCATTGATCTTCAGTTCTGGCAGGAAAAAATGAAAGGGTAAAAGATTATGCTGTGTTTGTTTCCAAATAAATATGTAAAAATATATTTTTTTTAATTTATTTCAATTGCCATTCCAAATACAGTACATTTTTTTATTTGGTTTAATGTTCTAAATATATGAACATGTTTGTCAGAAATAATTTTTTTAACAGATGCCAGTGCTTTTTTTCAAAGAAGAGAGAAGATACATGATAATTTATTACTTCCGTTTTTATTTAATAATACGATAGATTAGTAAAAAGCCTAGTCAAATTTGACAGTAAATGTCATAATGTCTATTTATAAATCACGTTGTAGTACATACTACATAAGCTGCGTAGAAAATGTCTAACAAAGATGAAGTAAAAGAAATCTTGTTTCTACATACTTGCAAAGTGGACCTATATCTTGTGGCCCAATAAATGAAAGCTTTGCTCTGATTCATTCATTGGGAAACTGCCAACAGATATAATTGCTATAAAATCACTGCGTCAACTGTTTCCAGGTAAAAGAGCGTAGGCACATGTAGGAAAGATGTGAAACATTTTTCACTTTCACGGCGTTTGATGAGTGACGGGGCTTACAAGTGAAAACTTCACACCTTGCACAAATTACAGTTAGCGGCGCACTTCATATAAACACTTTTAATGCTATTTATTCCATAAATATAATTTTGTACGATAATCATCACATGTTTTAGTATTATTAGAAAAGATTATTATGACGGTACAGATTAATTTTTACATAATAACTCATTCAAACTATTTTAACGTATCTAGAAATAATCAAAGTGATTATTAAATGTCTTTATCAATACACTATAAAAATCACTTTTATCTTAAATATGCATTTGTATGTTAATTTAAGTGTAATTATAAAAGCTTAAGCAATACTATTCAAGACAACATAGGATATATATTCTCTTGTTAAATGGTGTCATTTACAATCTGTATTTGTTCTAATAAAGCCCGAGGATATATATCTTAAGAAGTAATAAATGCTCTGAATGGATTTTCAATTGATTCCCATCAATCAAAAATAATCATAATTTACTTAACGACAGTCGAGCGGGGGAAACAGTGTGTAGCCAACTGTAGCTACAACAAATCCGACACAGTTTTTGAGGTAGACATTTACACAATTATTAATGGGCTTAAAACTGACCCTTGTCGTGGACATGTTCATGTCACCTGGGAATTTTCTGTGATCACAGCCCTCGCAGGTTTATTTAAGGTAAGTTTCCGATTTTTATATTTTATTTACCGTGACAAATTAGTTTGTCTGTATTTCTTCAATATGCGTGATGTTCTGAAAAGGATACGTTGCAATATCCGGCTTTGACACATAGATGCTTAGTTTGTCTGACATAAATGAATTTACAAAGGAGGTGTGTGAAGTAATTTGTATTTGACATGAAGATGTTCAAAGTGTATTAGAAAGTGAACTGATATGGATATTGGGAAAACACTTGTATCTAGTATAAAGGTACATGTTTAGCTTCAAATAACGTATTTAAAAAGCCGTATATAACAAAGTTCAGTATAATTTTTTTACACAAAATACATGCATAAGAAAGACAACTTTGTGGCGAAATTAATTTTTTCATGTTTTGATGACAAAGCTCACCAAGATGAGAAAAACTTATTAAGTACTTTAATTTTATCTTCTGTTACTTTGCTTCTAATTGAATCAGATTGTATTAATTATAACAATTTTAAAATAATTCAAGCCTCTTTAAATAATTTAAAGTTAAACCACCAGAAGTTCAGCTACCTTAGACAGACAGAGGTTTTCCAAGAATACAATGTCCGTATGTTTTAGTTGACCTCAGTCGTTGTTTTGTATTACTTGGTAATTTTTATATCATATTTAGGTAAAAATGAATTGTTTATTGTTTCGTTAAAAAATTAACCTAACCTGTTTTTATAAACTAATTAAATGCACGTTTTAGAATTTTTTAACATAGGTATAACATAGGTATGAAAAGCTATCAATCTCAGATTAAATGAGGAACATGAATCGTGAACAAGGCAAAACAAAAGGACCATTTAAGGAACATGGATACAATTTCAGCTAAAAAAAATTCAAATTTATTTTTCCATTTTTACAAATGTTTAACTAAGGTCTTTCTAATGATCATAAAAAATGAATTTCAGTTGTCGAGATACAAGACAGATTAAGAGCTCCAAACCTTTGTAATGTAAACATGGTTCGTGTAATATTTGTGTTTACATATGTTAATATATTAATATGTTCTTCCAAAGCAGATATTTTAAATTTAAAAAGTTAATTCTAAATATGATTAGACAGCTTCTAGTGATTTGCTGAATTTCATTTTGTTATGATATTCTATATATGTAAACATAAACAATTTTAGGCACGAGCCTTGTTTGTTGATCAACAAATAATGTTGATTTTTTTGTTGATCATAAGATGATGTCTTACAGTGTAGTTAGGAATTGTAAACATTATTGGTTTACGAATTGAAACTGTGTCCATGTCCCTTTAAAACACTAAGGCTGGATCTAATGAGATCTAAACACCTAAATCAGATGATAGTGGAATATCATAGAACAAGGCAAATCAAAAGCAATATTAAAAAACACAAGAAGTGGGATCACGAGACTGTTGAAATCCCTGTAACATAAACTTGTCAGTGAGTAACAGGCCTTGTTTTAAAAATCGATTGTACTCAGAGCAAGCTTATCAGCAGCAAATAAAATGGGAGATCTAAACACCATAATCAGATGATAGTGGGATAATACACATAAATAACGAATGTTGTGGATGGAAAGGCTGAAGTCTTTTCTATCATATAATTTTGTTGTTATGTTGTTTATCATACAGATGTGAATTTGTTGTTATCTTTTTAATGTCATCTTCATAGTCCTTGCGAGTACAATCAGAATCAGAGCAGTTTTCAAGTTATTTTGCTGATGTGAAAAGACTTATTAAACAAGCATATCAAAAATCTATAGCTAGATTTAAATGTTGATTTTAAACTGTATAAAAGTGTTGATGTTATAGTCTTTTGAAAATTTTATTTCTTAAAGTTCTTTAGATTGGGATATTAACAGTATAAGTTCAGCATCTTTTTGAATTGTATTTTTAAAACATTAAACATTGAAATGTTATTTTTTTTCAAAAAAATCTTCCTTGTGTGTGTACAATCAAAATCATAGCAGTTTTCATTGAACTTTTTATTTTGCTGAAATGCAAATGTGAAAATTTTTCTTGATTTCAAGGTTTAAAAATGAAATGCTCTTGTGTTAAACAACCAGTTTCTATCATACAATTCAAAAATCTAGATTTTAATCTATCCTGTTTGGCAGATAATTAGATTAATGGCTATTGAAATATTTGTGTTTTAAAGTGTATAAAAATCATTATTTGTACATGTTTTGCAATTATATGTTAAATATTCTTTTGAAAATTTTAATTATTTTAAAGTTTCATGTTTGGTAAATGAAAGTTCTGTGAAATAATTGGACTGTGTTCATGGATAGGGTCAATTAAACAAGTATTTAATATAAATGTTTCATACATTTAACTCACTGTACATCGTTTAAATTGATTGTTAATACCGTTTTTCATGTGTGTCTGTTGATCACGTTGTTTTCCTTTTTGGTCATGAATGGTATTTTAAAAACATTAAACACTGAAATGTGATTTTGAAAAAAAAATCTTCCTTTGAAAGTAAACAGTCAGTCAAAATTATATGAAACGGTAGGTTACACTTGGCATGTCCGGTAGTTTACCCTATATAATAATAATCTTAAAATCTGCGAAATTCACATAATTGAAAACATGGATTATATTGCATAAACTTACGGAGTTTTTGTAGTTTACAGTGACCAAGATTTTTTAAAAATGAAATGCTCAAATTGTGTACCGAACCAAATGTATTACATCACCATTGTTTGATTAGCTACACAATCAGTTATTCCTTTATACAGGTGATACTTAAATACAATTCAATTGATCAGGAACGCTGATGAGTAAAAAGCTGAAATCATCCTGTTTGTCGGATTATTAGATTATTGGCTACTCAATATCATGTTATATTTTCATTTGTATTAATTTTGTTTTCTCTGTGATAACTCTTTGAAAGTTATGCGAGTTGATTTTTTTATCAGTCTATCGGAATGAGCTAAGGAGGCTTAATGCTACTAGTATGCATGTACATCTCGTATGTCTTTGTGTCTGAGGTCAGTGGGCGCGGACTATTGAAATTGACATGGGAGGTTTCGTGTAATTTAAATCTATTAGCCAACATTTTTCAAATCTAAATTTACAATGAAATGGAAAATCTTAGGAATTTAGGAAATACCACGTTTCCAACTATCGTTGATGCCCGTCATACCCAACAAACTAGACAGTGTTTCCTGAAAATAAAACATCCACATGTGAAATAAAGCAGTTCACTTCACCATTCTAGACTTACGGTTTTCCATCCTTACACTACACAAAAAAGGAATCAAAACACAAAAATTTTCATTCGTCTCCCTTACTTTCTTGGACGTTAAATTTCACAATCTATATTATCGATTTAAAAAGGTCCAGTAAAAAAGGTAAGTAAGGTAATTTTTCTCAATTGCGAGAACAGGAAATAGTGGATTTTGTAAAGATTTCGATAAAACCCTCAACACTGCTCTTTTTTTCTAGACAGGTTTATTTTTCTTCTTTGTTCCGATTTCTAAGTTTTCCTTGTTTTTTTAAAATATATAACTCATTCTTTAAAATTTCTTTATAAAAGGATATCACTTATCTTGAATTCTTCATAATAGTTGTACTTTAAGATAATTGTTTTTAATTATGATATCATTATTGTACTGTGCCATTTTTTTTCACTTTATCTACAGTGCTAGACATATTCATATTTAGATTGTTATATAAAAATATCAGTTACATCGCATGTTGCATCTGAGTTAACCAATTTAGCATATTAAAAACAGGTCTTTGACAAGAACTTAAAATAACTTAAAAATAGATGTACTTTCCAAGCTTTCATTTTTCTCAACAAAAAAAAATATAAAGAAAATTCTGATTCCTTTTATTCTGACATAAAGGATCAGGATGTTGAAATAATGATCCTGAAATATCTTAATATTTTTGATACACGTATTTAGTTAAAATGGTTATGAAATAGTACGTGTACAACACGTGTTTTATATAGTACAACGTATCCTTTAAATGGATCATCTACTTACATGTGTGACTGTGATTTTCATGATTTTCAAAATTACCTTCCAATATTCTTTCTTCGCAATTTGTTAATTTAAAAAGACTAAAGATTTCTAGTTTTAATTTGGTAATACTAATGATTTTGATAGTAAGACAAATAATGTTGTCAAATGCAATGTTAATTGCACATATGCACACTTAAAAACGTAATCTTAATTTTTTTTAATGTAAAATGAGCTATTGATTATATCAATGCAATTAACGTCAGGTTTTATTCATATATTCTATTGAAGTTTTTTGACAGATCAAATGCATTTGATTTATTGCAGATGGTTGAAATTAACACAATTAATTGACCAAATAATCCATCAAACATTTTACCAAGCTTGCATGCACGTGTTTCTTAAAAAAGACTTTGTGTAAAAGCTAATGTTACCTTTTACATTTGTTTTACGCAAATCCTTAAATTTTCATATGATGCCCTCCGTGCAATTCCATCACATGTGATGATCCTAAAGTATATATGTGGTATGGTTTCCATTTTTTTCTCATACATATATCTAAATCATATTATATGAGAAGAATACTTTCCGCTAACCTACTTGACATTCCTAACTTTATTTATGTCAATTTTTCAGAGGATATCTCCATCCCAACCACGTTTTATCTACCAATGTAGGTCATGGAGACCTATTTTCCGGTAGTGGTGGCCATTTTGGTTACTTTAAGGGCTGTCTCAGAAGTGGAGAGTACGCATGCTTATGACACGCTTCTCTCTACTTCTGATATGATAAAGAAGTGCATAGATAAAGCTGTAAGAGATGTCAAAAAACAGAAAGCGCTTGAGAAGAAATTCTACCTACAAGGTAAGATTTGATTTCGTAATTCTTTGACTTCTTAATTTGAAATTTGAATGAATTATAACTAAGGACTAGATAGATATACTTTGCAGATTTTTTAAAAAAAAAAAAATAATTTGCAATGTTTTGTTTCTGGCTCGTGCGAGTCACTTGACAGACCTAATGGTTTCCACTGTAGTTCGTTATTCATGCTTAACATCCTCTGTATACTTTATATTGGGTGTGTTCTGCTGGATATATATACTTTTAAAAATTCAAAGTTTACAGGATAATTAAATTATTATTCCTTCAAAGTCAGCAAAGCTACAAGAAGTCAAATTATAAAGTAATTAATTTTCATCTAAATTTGTTTGAAGATTTTTTTCTCAATATCATTGCCTTTTTAGTCTACACTAGTGTGTTCCTAAAATTAATACTTTTACCAGGTATCTAGTTACGCACAAGTGCACTAATGACTTGCAATACACTAGCTGTTTAAATCTGGTGGAAAATGCAATTATCTGATTCTTGCATGACTTTAAACGGTCATATTTTACAATCTTAAGAAAAGTTTATTTTCCAAGAGAACATCTTAACATTACCTACCCTTGACAGGCAACGACTGTTTTCCTGAAAATGGGGCTTTCAGTTGGCATCATTCCAAATTTATGGGAATTGAGGATCCGGACAAAATACAGCTGCTGAACAAAAAAGCTTCCATTGTCTTGAGAGCCATCAAATATTTTGAACAAATGTATGTACTGCATTTTTACTTTGTCCACTTACCAGATTTCTTGTTTGTTTTGTTTTTTTTATCAAAACAGAAATTTCAAAAATTTCACAACTGCATATTGTTTCTGTATACTTAATGACTTTTCAGGACAGAAATTCAGCAAATGCTTGGCATAACCCTTATCAAAATCTGTAAATGTTGATTATTTCTATCTGGTAGGTCTGGCATCTCGCTCGAGGAGCTAAAAGGAGACAATGGACTCAAAAAGATTTGGCAAAAAGCTATATCTCCACATTGTAACTGTCCAAAGCCAAAGTGTAATAATCGTGCTCACTATCGTACGGCGGATGGCACGTGCAATAACGTGAAAAATCCTAAATGGGGATCCTCCTTTATCCCTCAGTTTAGATATCTCCCACCAGCCTATCATGATGGTTTGTATTGTTATTTCGGCATTTTGGTGTTAGTCTTGTAAATTTTATACCATCCATGATTTGCACGATTTCTAATTAATTATGTATAATTTTTGTTAATAAGAACCTTTTTTCTTTGAGTGTTTCTGTCAATCACCTATTAAAATTTAGATATATATGATATATAAAGTAACATTTTTAAACCGAAAAGCAATAAAACTTTAGTTTTTTTAAAATAAAAAATAAAAAGATTTGTTTTGTTTTTTTTTTTGGTTTTTTTTTCTAAATTTAAGGATAATTTCCTTTGAAGGTGTAAACAGACCTCGTCTAAAAAGTGTCTCTGAGGACTTATTACCGAGCGCACGTCATATAAGTAACGTCATTCACAGCGCCGAGAAATGCCAGTCCTCGGACCGATTCCTTACCATGATGTTCATGTCATGGGGACAGTTTCTGGATCATGACTTTATAGGAACGCCCATGACGAAAGGTTGATTTCTTACTGCATTTTCAAATTTTTTGTGTATTTTTACAATAGATTTAGACTTTATAAGTAGATAAACTATGTTATTAACCAAAATAATCTTTGAAAGCAAATGTGTGTCATGTCGACGATGTTATTTTCAAATTCAAAATATCTTAGTTAATAAATGATGCAATGGTTAAATGTGCCTGACATTTATGTCATAGATATGAACCTTTCTTGATAAATTTAGTATATCCAAAGCCATGACATTAATTAACTGGTACGGTATTTTATGAACTTTAAAAAAAAACTGCTAGTTTTTGTTATAATGACTTCTATTATTAATGAAATGTATTGCAGGATTCAATGATTCCACTATTTTGTGTTGCAAACTAAGTCCAACTACGCTAGTCCAGAGGTAACATAAAAATATAATTATCTCCATAAAAGAAATCTGTGTATTAAAATAAATGTTTTTTTTTCAATTTAAAAGAAAACCAGTATTATATCTACACTTTTTTTTATGTTGAAGGGAATCTTGTTTTCCAATCAAAATTCCTAGTGATGACCCTTACTTCAAATACCAGTGCATGGAGTTTGTTCGGTCATCAGCGGCTCCACTTGATAACTGTGTACCAGGTAATTACTACACTTAGTATATATGTTTTAGAGACAGAGAGAGAGGGGAGGATCACAGACAAAAAATGTTTGTGTAAAATTCACAATGTTATTCTTAATTATTACTTTTAGTTATAGATAATACCTAGCTTGATTAAAAGTGAACCATTCTGATAAATTGGGGAATTATGATGAACCCCCTTTCTAATCGCGATAGCCTGTTGTTCTTATGTTCAATTCTATCAGAAAAAAATTTCACTTCAACACTTTAAGAAAAATAATATATTTACATGTATATGATATTTTATCTTGTCAAAAATGATTTTCATCAGTTAAGTCCTTTGCAATTAAAGTACGTATTTTGTTGTTTTCTACTTTCATTCTTGCAGAATGGAGAAACCAGATAAACCAACACACATCCTTCGTGGATGGTTCAATGGTGTATGGCGCTTCAGTCAAGGAGGCCAGATCGTTACGCACCGGATATGACGGTATTTAAATTGTTATACATCCGCTTGAAAAGCGGGAGGGTATATAGTAATCGGCATGTCCTTCCGTCTGCCTGTACGTCTGTCCGTACGTCCGTCTGTCTGTTACGCTTTGGGGTACCCATTTCTTATCAATCCGCAACTCCTCTTATACCACTGAGTGAAATTTAATGAAACTTTCAAAGAATCTTTATTACATATTGCCATTGTGCACATCCTATTTTACTTTTTGATCAGACACATATTTTGGGTTTCCAGGCCACAGCAAAACATGGACTTTGCCATTATAACCATATGGGAGGCGGGGTATCATTTACTGAGCTCATTGCTCACAATACCTCTGTTTTTTGTTAAAATTCCTTACTGGGTCCATTTCGTGCTAGTCAGCTCGTACCGCCGTCACCAGAGACTTCCCTTCTCGTCTGTCTTGTGTCCATCTCCGGACCATATCTGGACATGTCAACATGTCAAGTTGTTCTCTTCACGTATTTCTCCGCCGATCGAAGGTTTCTTTTTGTCTTCTCTCTTTTTCTTATCGGTTGATGCAACCCATTGGATAACGATTTGGTGCATTCTACATGTTGGTGTTCTACCCACAGTCATTTTCTTTTTCTTTTCACTTGCGAAGTGGTGTTAGTCCTTTTTTATAGTTCTTCTTTAGGTGAAAAATGCATAATGTTCTACAAAGGAAATTGCAATTTTGTTTGATATGGCATTTTCTTACTTCTGTTATGTTTTCTGTAAAAGTAAATACTCTTAAAAACAAAAAAATTTAAGAGGCAGATAGAGGTTAGTATATAAAGGGTAAAATACGGAATAATGTATACTTGTTTAGTATTAAACATGTTAAAATAACATTCTCCAAAGACAATTCAAATCACAATACGAAAGCAATGTGCTCACAGTTAATCTGATGAGAATAAGACATGCTTTTTAAAAATACTCATAAAGATCTTTATGAAAAGAAAAAAATCTAAGTATATTTTTAAAAATCTTTTTATTTTTATATTTATCTTTTCTTCTTCCTTTTTACTACAAATAGGTCTCTTAAAGGTTACAATTGATGGAATGTTACCTAAAGCAAAGAAGAGTGAATGTATAATGCAGAAAAGGTCTGACTACTGCTTCCAGGCAGGTTCGTCATGTATTCTTTTCTTAATTTAAAATTTTTTTTAATCTTAATTAATTTTGAATTTTTCAAATTCTAAATTTGCACACAGCACTGAGCATCTACTAATTATAATAATGAAATTTACTAAAAGACAATATTCTAGCTTATATTACCAAAATTGAATGCTCGCAAAAAATTCTGCTTTTACGGTAGTCTTGAAAGGAGTTTACTAAAGAAAAATCCTATTAATTTTAATAGACAAATGCAATTTTTAATTTTTCAGGAGATAAAAGAAATATGGTTGTACCATCTTTGACATACCTGCATTTATTATTCGTCCGTGAACATAACCGAATAACAAGTGAGCTATCAGCAATTAATCCACACTGGAGCGATGAGACCCTATATCAACAGACGAGGAAGATAGTCATCGCCATTATACAACACATCACATATAAAGAATATTTAACCTTCCTCCTTCCCAAAGACATACGTACAAAGTATGGTCTTACACCAAAAATAGAGGGTCATAGTACAGTATATAACCCAAAAGTAAATCCCTCAATATCAAATGTATTTGGAGTAGCAGCTTTCCGCTTCGGCCACTCACAAATCCCGAACCATCAGGTACTATTTTCAACAACCCATACGCCCATTCAGGTCAAACCTATTGAGAAAACTTTTAATCGACCTTTCCTGACCTTAAGCCATAATAGAAATGGGAGGGGGTATGACGGAGTTGGTCGATGGTTGGTCAATGATTTCATGTCTCCAAATGACAAATGTTTAGAAGATGGTGTAAGAAACAAGTTGTTTTTAGATAAAGAATATAAGAGTTTTGATTTAGCGGCACTGAATATTCAAAGAGGACGCGACCACGGAATTCCTAGTTATAATGCATGGAGAAAATTTTGTGGTTTGAAACCCGTCGTTCATTTTGGATCTGGTCCAGGTGGAATGGTTGACCATGATGAGGAGGATGCTGAAATATTTCACTCGTTGTACAGGTATAATATAAATATAGAGATGTTGTCAGGTATAATCTAGAGGGGTTTTCTCTATTAATAGGAACTGAATTTTTCTAGTACAAACTAATTCACATTCACAGTTAAAATAACTAACATAAGCAAGGGGTTCCTTTGTAATTGTCCTCTCTAAGACTTTTTGCTGACTTTGCAAATTACTTACTTTTGTTCTGTTTTCTATATAAATTCCTTCCGAGCTGAATGAAACCAATCTCTTACCGATATTTGTTTTGGCAACAGACATCCTGATGACATGGATCTATATCCTGCAGCTATGTCAGAGCGCCATCTACCTGGAGGACTCCTCGGGCCAACGTTTTCCTGTTTAGTAGCAAAACAGTTCAATCAGTTAAAAACCGGTGATAGGTTTTGGTATGAAAACGAATTCCTATCAATTGGATTCAATAGAGGTAGGTCACCTCTGTCACGTCTGTTTCATGTTTTTCATCGTCAACTTCCCATTTCAATATTACCTTCAATTGGTGTTTTTGTCCCCCGGCTGCGTATGTACATGTACATTTTTGTGTGGATTATGGTTTAAACCAATGGAGCGACTGACAAATAAGTGTATAATAAACTTTCATTTAAAGGTGGCATTTCACATTTTCTAAATTGTCTTCATAATGACTATTTCTAACTAGAGCCTATTTCCAGTCAACATTTGACAAACACATTTCACTAATTGCTAGACCATTCAATTTTTAAAAAAATTAAACAATGTAAATTATTCAATATTTAATTAAAACGCTGCTCAAAAATTCACAAAAAGCAGAATTTATGAGGGACTATTTCTTGTGGTGGAAGGATATTGAACAGAAAATTCTGCAAATCTGCACATTTATTGAATTTAATATCTTGGAACTTTAGCCTCACATAATTGGAGAACACATTTTGTAATAAATCTGTATATTTTATACACCTCACAACAAACTTTATAATGTGAAGATATATGAAAGAAGTCAAGATAAAATTTACACCATTTTTTGCCTGAAAATCGCATATTTTAACCAATATTAAAAAATTTACATCACTGACCCCAACTTTTTCTTTCATTATTTTAAAGTATTCGATACTTGTGACTGATCAGGACTTAACTCGAAAATATTGCATTGCCTATTCAGATTTTTAATACCCCAAATATGTTACTTTTTTCGGTGCAAAACGGTCACACAATAATTTACGCGCATTAATTTGCAATATTTGTTCAATGATAGATATTGATCAAACTTTTTTACGTAAAATATTATTATTATTGTAGCCATCGTTACATATAATAGAATTTGATAAAAGTTAAAGTGATTAATCAAAGAGTTAAAATTTAAAAAAATCTTGCACCCTAGTAAATTGACCACTATGTTTTGCATTGAGGCATACTGTAGCTTATGTAAAATATGGTTAAAAACTAATATATAAAACCATAAAGCTACAGTAAATGCAAGACCATTCAATTGTTTTTTTTTTATTTTTGCTGATTCACTCTTTTACCAGATCAAATAATATAATCTTTGACCGCTCGAGCCGTGCTACTTACTATATGTACTCCTAAGCAAATAATTGTCAGATCTTTTCACGTTGTAGTTGCTCTTTTACAGCTACTAAAACGTGTGATTACGGAAATTGTGTCAAATAAAAATCGAAATTGACAAGCGTATTGTACTGTAGCGTGATAAATCCTGTATACTATATCTCATTTGCATCCTTTTTTAAATTCTGACAGCCCAGTTGAATGAAATTAAGAAGATAAAACTCTCACGAGTTGTGTGTGATAATACAGAAATCAAGGAAGTCCAGAAGTTTGTTTTTACACCGCCCAGCATACAGTAAGTCAGTATTCTAATATCCAAACATTTGGAGCATATAACAAAAATATAATTATGTAAAGGTACAATCGATTTCAAACTCTCATGTCTTTGATATTGCTTCAATATTTGAGTTTCTTAAATTCAATCGATGAAGAAGTCATCGGGTAAGAACCATTACTGTATGACATTCGATACCGGTAGAAAAATGTGACATAACAAATACTTGTTTATCTACATTGGTCATTATATTCTTTATTCAGTAATGAATTGTACCCATGTATGGATCGACGATATTCAATAAACTTGGAACTGTGGCGGGAAATACCGAAAGGATCACGTGGTTACAGTGCTCGACGGAGTTTTCATCATTTCATTAATTTATCCTAGCATTGCATCCAAAAATTGTTAAGGGTTTAGAATTTTGTTATTTATATTTATTTATTATCTTAGTTTAAATAAAACAAATTCGTATTTTGTGCATTTTGCAATTATTAACATGCAAAGCAGGTAACAACATTGTCTTCGTTTGTAAGGCTCATTATATAAATTGCATTCTAGAAGAACTTGGATTTAATTTGGAATGTTTATATTCCTTCTCTTTCTAAGGAAAAAATTCTTCAAAATACCTGTCAGTTTTGAATACTTTTAATATTCCACAGAGCCAAAATGAATTTGAATTATTATATATAATGCACGAAACTTTAATTAATCCTTACAAACAAAGAACCAATACATTAAATAGATAGCAAATATTTGTACTAGTATAAAAATTACAGTAGTAAGGAAAAACTTGAGAGTAATTTGCAGCACTATATATTACAAGAAAGATTCTCTGTAATATCGAGAGGCTGATAGGATCAAAAATGTTATGAACTTGTGGACAATTTGAAATCACAAGACTTTACAAAAATCAACAGCTTAAAAAAGCTTTTCAACTTTATACACAACGATTCCCTGTGCAAATTAAAATCCGCTTTTTGATATCATTAACAGTGTACTGCAAGCAAAAATGGAAACCGTAAATATTCATATGTTTTCATTTGAAAAATTATTTTTAAAAACAGAGATTGCACACATGTAACACGCATTTAAAAAAAATAGAATTTGTAAGAGATTATAAACATTGGCAAAATCGGTCTTTTACACAATATTTCCAAAGTGGGGAATAACCTACTGCTTTATGGGCTAGCTGTTTATCATGGAAATAGGAGGGAGAAGTTTGACACTGATGAACAATTTCGGTGAAACAGAATTGGAAACCTCAAATGCCAGACAACATATAGAAAGAGCGTCAAGGACTGGATATTTTACCGAAAAAACACAAAATCCAAGCTATATGATAAACTTGATGACTTTTACTTTTCTCGTCAACTTCCCTTAGTTATGAGAGAATACCTTCATCACCTGCATAAGAGTATATATATCCTGTCAGCCACAGCATACAGGATCCGTATGAACAATTTCCAAAGGTAAATATATGACAAGCAAGTTGATTAAACAAGAATATCAAAACTGTTTAAAGTCAAGCTAGGTAATGTTTATTGACGCGAGTGCGGTTTGTCGTTGGACCCCCAAGACAATCAACTGGCGTTTTTCGTACCGGTTGTTGGCTTGTTTGAAACAATTGACGACGGATTTTTTAGTTATTTTCTGATCATGGCGGCGAGCAATTTATGTGGCCGGTGCAAGAAGATGCTCGCTAAAAATATTATCCTTGATGTTTGTATGGTTGTTTGCTCTGCTCTTGTTTTGTATATTGTTTTATCTTCACTTATGATATTGTTCTACTTCTAACATTTGCTGGGATTACATAAAAAAATTTTTTGACATACATTAACGAATTATTATTTTGGAGTGTGTATATTCCTTTAAGTTGTGGTAGAATTTTTCCAATATACTTTAGATAATGTTATGATTGGCAAACATCTGAATCACAAGAGATATTGTTAGTGTTGTTAAAAATATATTTGATCAATGGTTAAAAAATGTACAAAATATTCATGAACAGACACGATAGAAAGTGAATTTATATATCGAAGGGAATAAGTTTAATTGAATATTGCATGTATTGTATATCTACTCTAGTTGTTTTATCTTATCGAAATATGTTTTGTCAAATTTTACGACATTTTCTGATCACGCTCCATTACATGTACAGCTGAAAATTAGTTTCGATAAACTTGAGAAAAAAATTGAACACACAGATAGGCATGATTTTATTGCAAATGGTATACTTTATACTTAATAGAATTTTACAAGAAGTGACAAAAATGTCTTTCAGGATATTAAAAGTGTTAAAAGACTATTTTGGCTCCTTCTTAATGCTCTTTCTTACTGTGAATTTAGAGAGGATGATGTACATGATGTAGTGAAACTGCACAGTTTAAGAAATTTGTTCACTGAAATAATTGATCAACACAAAAGAAATTTGGACATTACATTTTTCTAAGGGGACACTTGGAGTGCTACAATTATTCAATCTCTTTTGTTAAAACTTACTATTTTTAAAAATTGATTATCTGCTGTTAAAAAATATAAACAACGCGAGGCGCAATTAAAAAAAAACCCACATTAAAGTGCATAGCGCTTCAAACTCTAACTGATTTCTTCATTTTTGAAGTCCCTTTCATATTTTTAATGTTTCATTTTGATATTTAGAAACACTTTTTAATCTAAGTAACCAAGGAATCAAACCAATTTTCTGGACCACAGTGTGTACGCGTCCATACTGGAAGAGGGAGGGGGGACAAGAGGAATAAGTGACTACACTGTGAAATTGATATTAGGATGAACTCAAAACTTGTCGGAAGTATTCGACAACATTTAAAAAAAGACTCATAATGTACGTATCAAGGGTCCACATTTCGACCCCAATGCACATGCAAAAGGAAGCGATTATCAGTAATTTGCAGATTCGTCATCGTGTTTCTGCTCCTGTGCCGTGCATGAACACTTGAGTCAAACTTGATGCTTGTACAAAACATACATGTAGGAGGAAAAAATTAGAAAGTTGCTGTTCTTTTCGTTTTATGTTTGGAGTTATGATAATGGCAAATGATACTAAGGCCTATGAATATTTGTTACAGACAATACACAGTCAAAGAGACTTAGGTAGTACTGTAGGTTCTATTATTGGAGCGGTGATCGGAGTCATTGGGAACAGTATTGTTATTCTCGTGTACCTCTTCCGCATAAAGGAGAAGGGAGAACGCTACTTTATTCCGCTTTTAGCCATTGTGGATCTTTCTGCATGTGTGACAAGTCCTCCATTTTTTATTCTGGATAACACATATTTCTTTAACTATCCAAGCAATGCTTGGTGCAAGATCTTATCATTCTTCCAGTTGTGTTTTTCAACAATATCGGCAAATATGTTACTGGTTATATCCCTTCAAAGATATCTTCTAGTTTGCAAACCGTTTTGGCCAAAAATGACATTATTTTGGAAACGATTTTCTTTTCTTTGCTCCTGTTGCATTGGACTTCTGTGCTCGATTCCTATTTTGAAAACAGCTGGAATACTAGAATCGAACAGTATTTACATGAACCACAATATAACAACAAGAACTTGCAAATTTTCAATGTATCAATCGGTATATGTTTCAGCGTACTTTGGCGTTTTGTTGATACTTTCATTTGCAAATATGTTGGTCACTCTCTTCCTCTATATCCCTATCCTACATAGAATAAAACGTTCTCGTCAGTGGAAATCAAATGCTGCTGATAAAAAAGAAATATTGGAACAAGAGATTGATCATTCCTGTTCCAGTGCAACACATCAAACTGCAAATAATTCAGAAGTTAACGAAACCAATTTATGCAAAAATGAAAACAATTTTCCAAATACAGTAATCTCAACGGAGGAGAACACAACCGCATGTAAATCTGCTGGTGAGACAGACCCCGGCAATTCATCAGTTCGAGCGGCAACTGTTCTATCCACAACGTTACAGCAAAAAGTGAAGAAAGTTCATAGACGCCCATTAGATCGATTCAGCATGATGTTTTTCATCATCATTTTGGTGTATGTGCTTTCGTATATCGCTCCCCTTGTGATTCTGGTTCTCTCGTATACAATAGAAGACTTCGATTACGTAACACTGTCGGAGACAGACTCTCTGGTGTGGATATATGTACCCCGTTTAGTGTTTATAAATCACATACTGAATCCCTTTGTATATGGGTATTTCGATACAAAATTCAAAGATCAGCTCAAAATAGTATTTTGCTGCTACTAGAATTAAAAGTACAATGTACTTCCTAAATGAATTTGATCAATTACATAAATTTTCGGAGAAATTTGCAAACACATGTACGTAACTTTTCTTTATGAAAGATGGCTAAGTACATAGCATGAGATCTCATGGTAAATCAAAAGAAATATAGTATTAAATTTGAAATGTTGCAGTTGAATAGGAAATATTGTTCAAAGTGATATACAACAGTGGGACAAGCCGACAATATGCCATAACACGAACATCAACCAATTGTGTCATTCCCAAGGGGAAAGTTTAGCGCTTTTGATTGATTGCTATCGTGTTACGGAAGATTTCACAGAAATAGTGATATAACGGTTCTTTTCTTTATATTTATTCAAATAGCCATTTTAAAATCAACATATATGGGCATCAACAACAAGAAACACAATAAAATGAACTGTTTGATACTTCAATTGAAGGTGACGAAATCGCCATCACGTATGACCACTGTGACGCTTGCTAATTCCCCAAACCCATCTAGAAACCTATGCTAACCTTTATGGAAAACAAAGACAAAAAAGTCCTGATCGAAATAATAAACTGCCGCGAAAACAAAAAGGAGAGCCAAATGCAGCAAACATTTCCATAACTGTGTGTTTATACAGCTCTATATACAAATGTATATAAAAACCTGAACGCACGGGGAAAGAAAAAAATTAAAGATTCTTGTACACGTTGCTTGGGTTTTGGGCTTGATGGATATTTCATATTTACAAAATTAAAATCCTATACTTTCATCACACGTATTTCATTTTTACTGAGTCGCCCGCGTGGCGAAGTGATTAAGGCGTTTGCTCTAGAGTCGCGAAGAAAGGAGTTGATCCTTTCGTCGCGGGTCCGAATCCACTTGGGGATGTGGATACCGGTCCTTCGGAGAAGACTGATAAACCGAGCTCCCGTGTCGCAGAAGGTGCTGGCACGAAAAGGGGACCTAACTGCTCAATGGCCTTGTGTGCCGATTATAGGTATAAATTTGCAGCTCTCCACCCTCAAGTGGTGGCGTCTCCATACGAGTGAAATATTCTTAAAGCCGCTTGGTCCGATTCTAATCGCTAAAAATATAGATTGTCCATAAATTATTTCAACTTTTGTCAATCCCCAAAGTCTTTTTCTTTTTAAAGATATCAAAATTCAAAAGATAAAAAAATAATTTTTGTTAGGTCACACAAAAAATAATCCTTTGTTGACATTTGTTGACATTTGTTGTTTGCGTGAAATCACCTTCGAAAAATTAAATTTATCGCTTACATGTATAACTCATGAAGAACAAACCCGAGCATTTTTTCCACAACAAAGTGTACATAAACAACTCCTTTTTTAAAAAATCAAAATATTTTTACTGATGCATATGAATATAAAAATTACTAGAAAATTTTTAAAAGATATATCATGACTTAGGAACCCGGGTTTGAATTCTCTTCATAATTAGATATAACGATAAAAGTATTTTTTTCAAAGGTAACTTCAAAACAGATCTTAACAGGAACTGCTGTTTGTCAACAAGGTTTTTGGTCTATGTTTTCCATGTAAATATTGTTGTAATAAACTATTAAATCAATCTTATAATTAATTTTTATATATTATCTATGTAATGTTTAAGATAATATGTGCCTGTTTCGGATGAAGCGGCTTTAAGAGAGAGGTTAAACAACAAACAAAATATTTTTACTGATGCAAGAAAATTGAGATCTAACCCGGAAACAGATTGACGGCCTTACTCCATCATCAGTTTCCCGCAATATTAATGGGGAAAAACAAAGTAGACTTTTCTACACAGACGGATGAATCCCTTTTCTGTTTCCTGTAGATGTGTTTCCACGAGTGTGAAGCAATTGCTTGACATTTACCATTTATTGTCAAGGTATGTATGATAAAGTGAGACACTCTAACATAAATGTGCATGTATTATTGTTCTCCAACAACAATAAAACAGAGGGTGGTAATTGAAAACAAAAGCTACTCGCACGTTCAATTGGTGTACTTTATTTTTATTTGTTTATTTCAGAATGGGTCATCCATGTTCACGTTGCCAGCAACACAATACCCATATTGCCAATGCTACTGAAGACACCATTAGAATTGTTTTGTCTGATAACAACGGCCGAGAGACGACACAAGTCATCCGTGGTGGGGAATATGTCAACATCCCTACAGTGCATGGTTCCGTTACCATAGGCGTCTTTCTCCAGAAAGAAGATGGAAGTTTTGAAAATAATGCTGTTACCAGTTTTTCAGAACAATCCGATCGAAGTTTTATAGTGAAGGGACACCGCGGTGGCAATGTGACAATTTGCAGAACATCGCCTGGGACAATTTGGGTTGAGGGTGCACCCATGGTAATCTGATTAAAATCAGATCCTTTGATTCGCTCACATAGATTGCTACACAAGTTTTCGTGTGAGCGTATCAAAGGATCTAATTTTAATCAGATTGCACCCATGGTAAATAGCAAATTAAAAAAACAATCTTTTCTTCGAGATTGACATAAGTGTTTTTAAGAAATTTGCTTTCATTGTCACTCTTTAAAAAAAGATGACACCTTCATCATCCTTACTTCAGGCAAAAAGAACAATGATCCGCTGTATAATGATTCAATATTCAGGTTTATTTAGCGACATTTATTTATTGTTTATTTTTTGTTGTTGTTAGTACTCGTACAGATTCTCCTTCACTGCCATTGATATTTTATAGAGGAGTAAAGAAAGTGCTCGGTAGAACATTTACTGGAACACCTATGTATCTTTTTTTTTATAAGGATTTGATATAGTTTAAGAGTCTAGAATAGGTACGGTTATTCAAATTCAATTTGATTGTTTGTAGTATTAAAAGTTTTTTTTAAAAAAAAGATCTAGTTCTTTTGTATTAAATCATTCATAAAATCTTGTAAATCATCAACAATTACCCAATTAGAAAACACATAAGAAAGGTTTATTCTTTGAATTACATGATAATTGATCAAGTTTCCTTCTTTGGATTTGAACTCTCTCTTTCTTTGGGATTTTAACTCTCTCTATAAAACGTGACTGTTTAAAAAACCCTTGATTTACAATATCCATAATCACAGATCCATGCTGCGGAAGAAGAATCCAATTATGTATTCTTTGTTTGGTGCGTATGTGATGAAGGCTTAACTATTTATTTTCATTTGGTACTGGTAAATCAAGAGACTACGTGTATAATATGATTCGTTGGTATTATGTAAACGCTGAATTGCGTGACAGTGAGCGCACGACGGGCATGGTCGTCGACAGGGGATGCTTGCTCCTGCGTGGCACATGATCCCACCCCTGGGTTTTTTTTTTGAGATTTGCTCTGCTCCAAATTTGTATGATTTTAATAGACGTTTGTGATTGATTACTGCTCGTTATCTCCATACATGTATTCCATTTATTGTAAAACCGATGAATATGACAACGCTTACGTCTCTGTGCCTTGCTAAAATGTCTCGTCTCATTCACATTGCTGCAGTGTGGACTTGAAAGATTCCAGAACTATCAAAATTGTTATAGCTTGTATATTGCAACGCAGTTCCCAGTTCTCTTTGTCTTCGGAAAGGTGTACTCAGTGATGGTCTATCAGTATGATGGTAAATCTTTTCTAGAATTCTAACCTTCATTGTCAAAGTAGAATAATCGGGTAAATTAACATGCTTGTGAAGAAACTGCTGACCCCCTGTTTTAATTTGAAATCTATGCACTTCTTGGTTTCACCAACATAAATAAGCCTACAAAGCGTGCAGTATTTTTCTATAGAAAATTGCAACATTATATCAAAAAGATTTGCAGATAAGATTGTATAACAGCTTTTCTAATAAAAGTAATCAAAACATTAGAGCTTTAACAGTTCTTGACAGAACTATATTTGGAAATAGATGTCATCAATTACATGACAAAACGAAGATTCTTAGTAATGTGCTTAGACTTTGTTTGTTTTTTGTTTGTTTTTTAACTTACTTTCATGTATACCGAGCTTTATTTGCATCAAGTCAAAACTGTAAGATTCTGAAATAATATGTTGCAATGATTTAGCAGATTATTGCTATTTTTAACTACAAGGAAATTAATTTTTTATGAAACATCTTTTATTTTGATATATTTACATCCACTGAATATTTTTTCCTTTATTTCTTATGTAGACCATTGCCATTAATCATTGCATGAACAATACTAAGCAAGGCACTTCTGTAGATTTCCTGAACTATGGCTGTTCCATCAGTTAACCAATTTTATTTTACTTTGAATAATATTTAATACAGATGTAAATATAAACAATAAAAATGTTTTCTTTGTTTGTTAAATTGGGAATTAACGTGGCAGCTATTGCAGAAAAAAATTACAGAAAACGCTTACGCGGATTATGTTTTTTTTTCCTGCAACAGCTGTGACATTAATTCCCGTACTAACAACCAAATAAAGCATTTTATTGTTTTAATTCTGTACACTACGTTTTATTTCCTCATTTAGAAAACGCCTTAGATACTAAAGTCACGTCGCATGTAACTTAATATTAACCTGCCAACATACTATTTTTTTCCTATACAGGCGCATTAATCACTGAAATTTAATGTAGCCCAGGAAAGGAGAACAATCCTTTTGAAAGGTAATTTTTCTATCCTTTTTTATTATATTTTCTGTTGATACTTTGATATTTTTTCTATTTTCTTTTTTTTTTTTTTTTTTTTTTTTTTTGGTTTTTTATTGTTTGAGACCTCACTTTGTGAAACCGGATACACTAGTGTAGGACTATATGTTCCCACGTCGTATGTCTGTCCATCTCACTTTTGTCAATTTATTTTTCTAAATGTTTGCTTATATTAAGCAGATGTTTGGTATGTGTTTCTATTAATGAGTCAAAAGATAAAGTTTGCGTTTCGTTTTGCGTTGATGGACTTTGACAAAAACACGAGATTACATTTGTCAGTAAGAAACCAGTATTGATTAGTAGAGATTAGTAGAGATTATATCATCTCTTAAAAAAGCAAAATACAGACTGGAAAGTGAAAACACAAAATACTCATGTTAACTTGTCATATGTTTTTTATTCATTTATTTCAGTATGGGCCAAGTATGTGGTCAACACCATACCCACATTGCTAACGCCACCGATGACACGATTAAAATTATTTTGTCTGATAACAACTATAGAGAGACGACGCAAGTAATCCACGCCAAAGATTACGTCAAGATCCCTACGGTGCATGGGTCCGTTACCGTGAGCGTATTTCTTAGCAATGGAAAGGGAGGTTTTGCAGAATATGCTAATGCCAGTTATACGAATGAATCTAACAGAAATTTTATTGTGAAGGAATACATTGTTGGTCACGTCAATATTGTTAGAGCAACGTTTGGAACAGTATGGAAAGAACATATTGGTTTACAAATAACACCCGTTCAGCAGTTCTTTCAGATATGAACGCGTCATGATAATTCTTTTCCAGAGTATTTTCAATATTAATCAAGTTATGTATTAAAATATTTACCATGAGTTAAATGGGAAAAAAAAGTGTACGAAATATTTCCTGTAAAAGAATCTTAATACAAAATTATAGCATCTCAAATCTTGAAAATGGGAAATCTTAAACAAATAATTAAAATACAATTTTCTGGAAGTTGCATATTTTGCGTATTAATGACTAGAATTTGGAATAATTCCGTTTATCTAAACTGTAATGATGTTAACATTTGGGGATTGAAGACTATTCCTTGAAAAGTATCGAAAATTATTAGTTAAACATTAGAAAGCACTAATATATGCAGTGTGGTTTAACAGTGGTTATACCAAAGAATATAGACGAATATATTTTTTAAATGCATGCATTTTGCGCTGTGCAGACCCCCAAAACTTCAGTTGATAGGGATTCATTTCGAACAGTAATAATGTTTGTTCACAAGTAAAAATCGTCTAGGTATAAATCACATTAATTGCGAAATATAGATAATATCCACTTTCACATTTTTTCATTTGACCAAAGTTATTTCTTCATATCTTGTTTTTCAATGAAATATATGGAGATAATTAATCAAGCTCTAAAGTCCATTAATCAATACAATAATTAATACAAATTTTGGAGCGGATCAAACACGGGCCTCCAAAAATCAGAGTTGGGATCAGGTGTCATGGAGAAGTGAGCCTCCCCCATCCACCGATCACAATCGCTATGTGCTCCGTGTCATGATTGGGAAATAACGGAAAAAAATCTTTCAACAATCAAGTCTGTAAATAATGCCTTAACAATAAGTATTGTTCGTAACAGCCAGCATTTTTGACTTAATGATAAATTGTATTTGCTGACAAGATCATTGAATCGACCATGGAACTTACGAAATGGCGACTTTAAAGGAGACTACTGATATTCTTGTTTAATCAATTTGTTCGTCAATAACATCTTGTTTTAGAATGTCTTCATACACGTGTACGTAGAACATGCTCTAGCGTATTGAATCAACTGAGAGATATAAACCCCGTATGCAGTTGATGAACTGCATAAGTATGGGAACTTGACGATTGAAAAGTTAAAGTCAATACGTTTGTCATAAAGTTTAGTTGTTAGATTACCATTAACGTCTTTTCTGGTAAAATATCCAAATATGAAACAGATGTTTCATACTCTGTAGTATCATTTATTTCGAGCTCACCAGGATATATCGCTTCGACGTAAGTATGGTAATACATGTAATCATTGATATTATACTTTCATGTAAATTAGTTGAATATGATTGATCGAAAAACATTTGTTAAAAAACACTATTAACCGCTGAATAATGAAGCCTTGCCCTCCAGCGTAGCAACAGTCAACATTGCTTGACGACGGGTGGTATTCCAAAAAATAGCGACTGCGCAGAATTTATGCGCGCACGGTTCACTGTTATATGTATTTGTATAAAACATTCAGTATAATATAATAAATATAGCATGTAGTTGAGTGTAACATTGAAAATTTTCACCCCTCGAAACCATTGGTTTCTTGGGGTGAAAATTTTCAATGTTACACTCAACTACATGCAATATTTATATAAAATTAATATCAACAAATGTGTTACTTTTAAGGACTGTCCGAAAAACAAGCTAACAGGGGCAGCGACAAACAGCGAAATTTGCGCCATTGTTAAAGATTGGTTTCACTCTGCAGGAATAACTGTCGAAGGCGTTTATGCATAAAATTATCACGCAAGCCAATCGATTGATCATCGCCATGAAATCGAAAAATAAGACAGTTATTCCGTATATTTACATGCTCTTCATTCCGCCAATCCACGTGCTACAAGCCCCACTTCTTGTTTCTATTTGCCCCGCCCTGCACGTGATTTTTTGTAACCGCGCCTATCGATCGATGAGCCAGTGCATTGATGAGGAAATAAAGTACATTGACTATTTGAAACTTTATCTCGGACAAAGACATTGGAAAAATAAATATTTGACAATACGTTGTCGATATATCTAAATGTCTAGTTGAAGGCCACAACAATTTTTTTTCACGTGTAAGATTTTGTAAGACAAGTGAATACAAAAATAGGTTTGCATAAACATGAGAATTCCAATAGATTGTAGAAATACTGGTCCCCAAAATCTACAAAGATTTGTCAATCAGAAACTCAAGCATCTTTTTCATATCAACTTACGAGTACTTTTGTGTACAATCAGAATGTTTTTAACAAAATAATTTTGCAAATGACGAGTGACGAGGTAAGTAAATTTACCAGTTCCATTTTTATTTAAAGAAAAAAAAGCAGCTGTCGATGATATAAAAAAGCCTGGAATTTAATTTATCGTTGAGAATGATTATATATATAGTTGAAAAGTCGTAAGTTTTTATGTCGTTGACTTTCAAATTGGAAAAGAGTTTGTGTTTTCAATTTTTCCCAAAATTCCTTGGAATTTTTAAGTATCCACATTTGATTTACACTTGATTTACATCACTTCTCAAATATATTGTTGCACAGTACCCCTGAAGTTTCCCCTTTACTACTGTTAATATTAGAGCGAGGAGTAAAGATAAAAGCTTAGTAGAAAAAAATTACTGGAACCCGCCATGTATCTTTGCAAGGATTTTTATGAAGTTTCAGAATCCAATATAAATATGGTAATTCAATTTCATGTTGGTTGGTAATATTAAAAACATTCAAAACTGATACATGATTGTTAAGAATTTCCTCCTTAGAAAGGAAGCTATAGGTATAAGTTCGATTACATTTTATATGATATATCGTACAATTAAAATAATGAGCCTTGCAAACAAAGACAATGTTGTAACCTGCTTTGCCAGCAGTGACCAATGAATAGTCCTAGGGTCTCCGTTGTGGTCCAAGACTGCAATTCATAGCGGCGTGTACAAAATAATAGTTTTTTTCCTGAAGTGCACAGGGAAATTCTCGAAGTAGCTAGGGGAAGCAAATGGGTAGAGTTCGCTTGGCTGTGAGAGGGGGTTGTACCTGGATTCTCCACCATTTATCACATCCTCGCTTTAGATGCGCATTCTTGTCGTTAAGCCACTAGGGTGGAACATTTCAAAATAGATAAATCTGACTGATTTTAGTAAATATGACAACTCATTAAATTAACAATCGATGTGTAGAATTTTGAAGTGAAAATATCCTAAGTAATAGTCAAAATGTCTGATGGTACATTTTCATTTGTGACAAATCTATTGATTAATTATACAGATAAAAATATTTTTACCAATAAAATGTCTATAAACGCATATTTTCTGTTGCAACATTCATTCTCATACAAACAAGGAGAACATTTCATTTAGAATGAAAACATAAATTAGTGTACAGATGTCATAAAGACCTGTCCTTCCTTATATGTACAGGAGGATGGTAGGGTCCAAGTGATGTAATGATGTGGAAGTTATAAAGAACCAGTGGCAGATTAATAGGTAACCAAGCATCACAGGGCGCTTTTGGCAAAGGAAGGCCGACTAAATCGTGCTGGGACCGTTCAAGAATTCTTACATGAAAGCAAAGCGAACCCGATCCAATCTTTAAAGGTGCATGGACACAGATTTGAAGTTAATATTTTCTGTATAATATCACGACTTATATATTTTAATAGCATTTCACAAAAAAATATATTAAAAATTTTATTTCATCTTAAAGTTATTGAAACTTCAAATTTTTGAGTGGGTTTGATTGACACATCCTTGCACTCTCACTTTTAAGTTTATTCTTATTACTTAGTAAAAGTCGCAATCTTGTTGTGTATTAATGAAAAATATTAAGACTTTAATTCAGAAAAATAATTATATTTAAAGTAGAAATGTTAGAAAGCAAAACCCCTTCACAAGTATCCTCATTCCACGCTTAGTGTTATGTACAGAGTTGAGCAAATTCATCACACCCATGAAACGCACACAGTTTTTGTAAACAGGGCACGAGCTCTGTTATTGTTGATGTTTACGATTCCCCGGGTGCGTTCAATTGTTAAAGTCTGCTCACCACAACTGCACGGACTGACAATATACTGTGTGTATGTTTTGCGTTCGAACATTTCTACTCGGAATTTTCTGGATTATAGTTTTAATAGTTTTCATTTATACACAAGATTGCCACTTTTCCTAATTATTAAGAATAAAATTAAAATTTGTGAAAGTGCAAGGATGTGTCAATCAAACCCGTCTAAAATTTTGAAGTTTTTATAACTTTTAGATGAAATAAGACTTTTAATATATTTTTGTGTGAAATGCTATTAAAATATATAAGTCGTGATATTATACAGAAAATATTAACTTCAAATCTGTGTCCATGCACCTTTAAAGAAATACTTTTGAAATAAGCATGGTGAACAAATTCAAAAATATATGCTTTATGAAGCTAAACTGATAGCACGACAAGTTGTCCTGCGCCTATTTTTAAAGCACATGCTACGTGTACGTGAGAATATAGATCGTGCGCATTGGTAAATTCGTCATGTAAATCTAATTTCTCAGTCTGTGCCAATTTTAATGATGGAAGATGTCTATTATGGCGACAGAAAAAATTATAAGGTCTGTAGGGGGTTCTGTTATGATGAGGAGGGAGCTGAATTCTATTCGTCAACAGATTTTATGACATCAGTAAGTTATGATATATATATTACTTCTCTTACCAAGTACAAACATTTACTGGTGACAAAAGTACAGAATTGACACTGATGGGTGTTGATGCAAGACCTTACAGGGAAAACAATGTGGCAGTGCCTTCAAAGAGAAGAGTATTGAGAGGATGGAGTAGCCTGTACCAAGACCAAAATGTCCAACTATATAGAACAATGTTTTTGATCTAAAAAAAAAAATTCTACAAATATTCATTATAAAACTGTTACATAGAGAACTTGTCACATTTCACCTATATGAACAAGAATCTCAGTTACTTATAAACTGAATGTACACTTTTTTCCCTGTTGTTGTCAGTGTGTTTTGGATAAGGAAATTGACTGTTCTGTACATCCCATGAAGTAGGCTACAAGTTCACTTCCTGATCACTTCCTTTAAAATGAATACTGTTATTATCATTTTATGTTACATAGCTCATTTTTCTAAGAAAGTTTTCAGTCAACACTTCCTCATAACAATGGGGTCAAAGTTAAGTTCTTATTTGAACAAGTCAGATTAATTTCAACTTCTTTTCCAGAGGATTCATTTTATAACAGAACAAAATAAGAAATTTTGTACAGAAAGAGGGAAGTGTAGGTATTTGGAATTCGTATTTACATGCCAGTCTTTATGTTTGATCAATTCATTTACATAATCACAACAGTACTACATTTTTTTTGTATAAAGTTTTAATGATTCCAAAGATACTTATCGTAATATAAACAAACAATAATGAAAATGATGTAATCGTTAAAGAAAACAATCAGTTTGAAAGCGAATGAATCAAAATTTACAATTTATTCTCAAAATCCACTTAACAGATGTAAAAAAAAATATTAAACATTAATACATGTTATATAGAAATATTATTCTCACTCAACTAAATATTTGTGAAGTCAAAAATTTTTAAACAAGTATCAATCTTTTACATGAAACAATTCCGTATCTGCACCATTGAAAAGAAAAACACATACCTTTGTATGGTGTTTGTACTTCTTACAGTAAAAAGAAATCAACATAACCAAAACAAAAAAAAAATAAACCTTGACTGGGATCACATAAAAAATTATTAATTTGAAAAATGAGAAGAAATGAATTCTCATTGATCTTCTACTTCTCTTAACATAGGGAAGCCATTACTATATACATTGTGTTTTTTTTTCATAATAATACCTGAACAACAAAAATCATTAACTTTGAAAAGAAAGTGGTATTCTTTAAACATCTCTCTTTTCAGATGCTCAACATGCTCAACCAAGAGAGATTATCAGATCTGTTGAACAGATCAACAACTAGGAATTTCTCCTAAAACTGTTTACAAAGAAAATAAAGTTTAGATATTATCATACTGACCCCTTTTTGCCATTTCTTCTTTTGTCAAAATTAAACATAAAAAGAAACCTTCATAAATAACAAGGTATACAATATGCTTTTAAATACACTTCTTTTGTGAAATGTCTCTTTTATATTGAATAAACCTTTCCCTTTGAGTGTATGATATTCCAACAAGGTGCATTTTAATGCTGGAAATGACAGCTACACTAAAAGAATACAACATATATGACAAGACTACATGAAACTAAATATCATGAAGCATATTATATACGCTCAATGTGTGAAATTAAAAAGAAAATCAAGAATAAAAAAAAAAATTTAAGAAGGCTCTGTATTTCTTTAACGTAATAACAACAATTATTAATAATTAAGATTAAAAACTAATTAGAAATGGCTACGGAGCCTTCCTAAACTTGTTTTAATTTTTTGAAGTATGAATTCCAAATAACATACATAAATATTTACAAATACAGTTTCTTTGTAGAAACTAGGTGGGACTGAATCCCCTGACCTGCATTGTTTATCAAGAGATCCAAAAACTTCTCTTTTCCACTTAAGAAGTCACTAACACAGTTCGCTCCTACACTCGTTAGAACAGTCCTTTAATTACTATTACTCAGCTCAATCTCAATGAAGTTGTTGCCATTGGGCTCAAAGTAGCTGTACATTGCTTTCTTTCCTTCTGCAGCACGCTTGGCGATGACTGTCAAGAAATATTGTCAAGATTAGTTACAACAAAGACATGGATGGCTTATGGTAAAAAAGCAATCTATGTCCTCCATTTTCCAGGTTGTTTCTCAGAAATGTGCAATATGGTGTACAGAATAATCAAAAACAAGGCAAAAGGAAAATTATAGCTGTTAATTTTTGGCCATGTTGGATAAATTTGCACTTTGTTTGCATAATCTCATTTTTTTTCCATCTAAATTTGTCACTGTATTTAAAGGGCATTTAAGATATAATTTCAAATAAAAAACCTCATAATTTTTATATCTGTGGATTGAACAAAAGTTGTGCATCGACAGTATTAAGACTTCATTGAAAGCAATGTTTATAACAATTAATTGTTTTCTCTCCATAGAATTCTTTTCATACAAAAGTATCTTCAAGCTAGTTTTATAAGAAAATCATCTCCAATTTTGTTTTGCTGTTTTTGAGTAATTCCCCTTTACACAGTGACAAAAAAAATAAAAACAACAAATAAATGACAATGTAAGCATTTTAGTTTGGAAACCTCTTTTAACTCTGGTAAGAAGGCTTGATTGATTCTTTAATAATTCTGACTCAATTGTCCATGAAGACTAATACTTACAATGATCTCCCACCATTCTCTCCATTGTGTAGGTCTGGAAGTAAGAACACTCCTTCTCAATGTAACGGCCCAGGAATGAAATGTCCTTGAGAGCTGGCAAGGTCACACGGTACTGTTTTCGGAGCACCTCAGCCCGGGGCATGTAGTAACCAGTCTGAAAGATGTCAAACAATACAATATTCACAAACATATTAAAATCATGTACTGTAAACAAGAATAATATAGTTCAAAGGCTTTTGGAAATAATTACTTTCATAATGACAGTAACTTGACATAGGTAGGAATACCTTTTCAGAAAAAGTGGACATGTACTGGTAATCAAAATATTTTTTCTCATTACCTTTCCTTATTACATTTTTTTTATATCTTACTGCTAATAAGAGTATGATAATTTAAAAAAAAAAATTCTCTCTCTTTTTTTTTTTGCTTCTCAAAATAATAAGTATTCATACTGCAAATTTTTGGATGAGATCGATCCAGTCTTTTGGAGGAGTCACTTTACTTCTGTCCAGTTTCATTATGTAGCAAGACCTCTTATCATAGTCCACAATGGCTGTGTAGTTCTGCACAAATAAAAAGAAACATGACAATACACTTTCTTAAACAGCTTTTTGAGCAACATTTCATGTAATGCAAATCTACCAATTTCTCTTATGTTGCCTTTTTCCAACTACGGTAATTAATCCAAACTGCAAGTCTGCAACAAAATTTTTTTTAAAAATATTCTTTAATTCCCCCTAAAAATACCTTCTGGAAATCATGAAGAATCATGGTATCGCGGAAGTCCCTGAAACTTGGCATGTGGATTCTCTCGATCTGGTCATCAATGACCTGGACGTCCTCAGAAAGGTCATAGGGCACCATGTGGTGCTTGTGGTGTCTGTGGTGCTTGTTGGGCCTGCGGTGGGGCTTCAGTGTCTTATCCTCACTCCACAGCTGGTTAGACTGTAGGTTAGGGAGGAAGTGCGGCTCCTCCACGGGTTCCTCTGTCTTGATGTCATTGTTCTGGTAGTCATACTGCAGGTTAGCTCTGAATCCACACCTTCCTCGAGTGATCTGAAATTAAACAATTCTTGATTACTATGTGAATCAATGTGGAAATACAAAGTACCTCGATGAGAAGTCATGACTTTTCGAAGTAATTTAAACTTAATGCTCCATAAAAATTCAAATTTGCCATGTTTGCAGAAAAACAACACTTTTGAACATGATGTATCGTTACAATTATACTTATCATTATCATGATTAAGGGTGCTTACAAATATCAACGGTACATGGTATTTCAGCATTTAGCAAAAACACATCTAGATTTCATAATCTCAATCACCCATCTTAATTTCTATACTCAATAAGCAATTTATTAGTATTTTCTTATACTACTGTACTACTGAACAAATTGGACTGTTACTTTGTCATCATGAGTAATACCCAAATCCATCAAGTAACAGTGTTTTCCTGCCATGTTACATGTGTATCGATTTGTCAACACTGTAGGGCTAAATTTCATAGCCCACTCATGGTATGTTCAGCCTTATAACAAACATATTTTAACAGTCTCATCTTCAATCTAGGAAAATAATCATAATTCAAAATTTGCTTTTGTTTCAATTGACAAATCTTACTAAATGACAATTTAGGGGTTTCTTTTATTAACAATTTAATCAGACAGTGCAATTTATCAACCTAATTAAATTCAACTTTGTAGATCCACACCATACACATGTACACTGTGTTCTTAAGCAGTATGCATAGGGAAGGAACTAAGAAGTCTGATCAATGCTGATTTGAATTAGACTTAGCTATTTTAAAATTGTGGTAAATGCTTCATAGTTTTCAGAGTCTGAAGATAAAAGCAGTAAAAGTTACATTGTACAGCAAAGATGCTTATAACATGTATAATGAATTCACACTTATCATGCTAGTGTTTTTTATTCCTCGTGTTTCTGAAACATACTATGAACTCAATGGATATAATGAATTATGTTTATAATGATTCAAAAATTCATCCCTTGCACTTTGCTACTTGTGAGTTATATATACATGTGGAAAACAAGCAATCATGTGGAAGTTATACTATCTTTCCTATCTTGTCAACATGATGAGAGTGTCAAATCTGTGGAACATATAAACACACACACACAATCAACCTAAAAATAACACTCTCAGGAACAAAACTTCTTTTCATTGGCTATTTGTCAATTATCTAATACAGTGTATTAGGAAAATCTAAAAACATTTGTGTCATCAGTGCAAACTAAGAGAGGGAAGAGCAGGAAAATTACATGTACTGAATGTACCCAGTACATGTACATCCACTTGTGTAGTGACAAATTCATAAACAGGGAAACTTACACAATGACTGTTGTTGGTTCATTCTATTTTAACTCACTTCCTACATACCACATTGACTTATATAACTTTTTTTTGTAAACTTGAGGCCATCTTCAAAATAATGTTTGTTTGTTCTCTCCTAACTCAGGGTTAAAAGAATAAAAACATTTTCTTGGAAATGTCAAAATATTAGGAAATTACAGATAATTCTTGATATAAGAAAAAATTATCCTTTATTGCAAGGTAAAAAAAACACGAGTATATAGCCATTTTTAGCCAGTTGGTTAGAAGATGGTGTGATAATTAAAATGATGTTAAAAATAATTCATGTAAACTAATCCAAGACAACTGTCATAGCAATCAAACAGAGTCATGATGCCAAGAAATATTACTAAGATTAAATTTGAAACACCAAGATAGATTTTTCTTCCTTCTTACTGCCAGCATCCTTATTTGACAGAGTATTATTTTATGAAGATGTCATTCTCAGTAACGTTACACCTACTTCTAATTAGCCATGACAGTTTTCTTCATAATAAACCACACCATAATGTAACTGAAAACCTCTAACATTATTGTATCATTAAACCCATCTAGACAAATTTTTGTCCTTTACTTAGAAAACTGTGTGAGAATAAGAGTTTTATACAGGAAGATGGCTAGTCTCGCAGTCTCCTGTCTCCCAAGTAAAGAAAGTACTTGTGGGCAATTAAAACAGGACGCTGATGAAATGATACATTGTTTCATCTCCTGTCAGAGGGAAACTCAACTTTTAACTGATTTTTTTTTGTTAATATTTGACATGTGTGTTTGAATTGTTGTCAAGTCTTTCATTTTTTAAAATTTTTGTTTTTAATCTTAGTTTACATAATTTTTCCCCCAATTGGCATCAAGTTCAAGAATTCTTACGAGTTAACAATAAATTTGTAGACCTATCAAAAAAGATTTTTTTCATTATTTAGTAAAGACTGAAGTATTTACATAATTTATAGTGAAAAATTACTAATTCCGTTTCTGTGATGTAAAGGCATTCAAACCATTTGAAGCAAAATACTTCCTCCATCACTACTTCAATAAACATGTTAAAAGCACTCTATCTGACAATGTCCTGAAAATTTGGAAAATCCTCTACCCATGAATTAAACAATCAATAAAATTACAAATTATTTACAGTTTTAAATCATTTGTAACAAATCAAGCAAAACATATTTTTTACAAATGATATTTACAATTAGAATTCCCTAGCATCCATCCTCATTCAGTTTGCCAATAATTCAAAATTATCACCATTAGCTTTTAACACATGTTTGAAAGCAAGGTAAAAGGTGTGAAAGTCAGAATAATGGATTTTAGATTTTTATATGATGGTGCATTACTAATAACATATTTTGATCAGAAAGAAAAAGGGAATTAAGATTAGTCAGAAAAAGAAGCACTTGGACCCATATTAATGTTTTAAATACTAACTGTAAGATTTAGTAAAACGTTTCCATTTTTAAAAAAAAATATATTATTACCTCTTTATCATGTACATCAACATGTTTCGATGTATACTAAAAGGAAATTGTGATATTTCGTACGCATTAATATTATCAAGCAAAAAAAGAATATTAAAAATATCCCACCCCTGTTCAGAAAATATTTTAACAATTACCTCGTAGAAATTGAAGGTATTTTCCTCTTGAGTTTTTAAGATTTTTTTTTCCAACTACAAGATATTAATTTGTCAATGGGTAAAATTCAATGAAAAAGCCAAAATTAGATGCTACATGCATTATAATGTGTAAATTTATTGGAGCAAGACTAAGTATTTGACTTTAAAATATATAGGAACAAATCTCTTACTCACCCCTTTGACATTTTTATAAGTCTACGAAAAAGATGTGTTTTTGAAACATTTTAATTAGTCTCTGTATTGCAGCTCTGATGGCAAAGATCAAAGTTTCTCAAATGCATATAAATCTTCAAGGTCAAGAGATAAATAATACTGGCACAAGGAACATGAGAAAAACTTGTGTAAAATCCCTAGCTTTAACTGGTCAAAAGTCATGACTGAAGAAAGTTTTTAAGTTTTAATTTGCCCAATTTCTAACTACAAGATATTAATTTTTCAATGGGTAAAATTCAATGGAAAAGCCAAATTTAGAATGAAGTTCTTGAAAACAGTATTTGGTCAACATGATCAAGTCATCTTTTGAAATATAGTGCATAGTCTGAAGGATTCTGCTGGTATGTGTATGTAGGGGGAGGGCAAAGGGACAGGGGTCAAGTTGGGAAAAATAGACATATAATAGAGCAAGCTATCTACATGCATTATTATGTGTAGATTTATTGGAGCAAAACTAAGTATTTGACTTTTAAATATGAACAAATCTCTTACTCACCCCTTTGACATTTTTATAAGTCTACAAAATAAAAAGTGTTTTTGAAACATTAATTGGTCTCTGTATTGCAGCTCATGGCAAAGATTAAATTTACTCAAATGCAAGTAAATCTTAAAGGTCAAGGTCAAGAGATGAAAATTATCAGCACCCAAAAAAGGTTTTTGTCACAAGGAACATGATAAAACTTGTGTGAAATGTGAAATTCCTATCATTAACTGGTCATAAGTCATGGCTGAGATAAGAGTTTTGAAGATTTTTCCTAAATGTAGGTCAAATTTCAAGGTCAAGAGGTCAAATATGTTGGTACCCAAAGAAAGGCATTATCACCATGATCATGATGATCACTGAGAATACAACTGTGAATGAAAGCCTAAATAAACAGCAATTGTTCAAAATTTAATGCCAAGGTTAAAGTTTTTGCAGACACACAGACACGCAGATTGAGGAATAGAGCATAAACCTGATGCCCCCAAAGGCATAAGAATGACTTATCATCATATCACAATTTTGTATTTCCTACAGATGTAAAATGCATGTACTAACTAACTGTTCAAAAAAAAGTGGCCTTATACATATTATATGTGGAGTAAGAGAGAGCAATGGAGTAAGAAAGTGCAAGAGGGAAAGATAGACATCTGCTTAAAGTTCATTATTATTCATTGTTTATGCAGATATTATTAAACTGTTATCAGAAAATCCTCAGTATTCTGATTCAACCCTCTTTACTATCTTGTGCAGTTCATAAATAAGATACAATTAGTATAAATTAGTATAGCTAAAAAAAAAATGTTATTTAAGCTAGTACACACTTTACATGCTTTTCCTGGTAATATTTGTGTGTAGACCAATATTTTCCTTAAGTGTTCTTTAGCTGACTCCACAATTAAAGCCTTGTTTAATTCTTTACCTTGTGAGAGAGTCTTCTGTAGAGCAGGACACCACCGGTAATCCCCGCCGCCAGGACCAGAATAGCCACCAGAATCAGGAAGAGGTTAAGCCAGGCCTTGGAGTGGCGCCTGGGTGGTGGGACCACATCCACTTCTGCTGGGACCTCTGCGTCAGTCTTCAAAACATGGCAAATAAAATGTTTAACTTCAAAAAACAATATCACTAGGAGTCAATGGTGATATGAATATATTATAAATGATGTTCATGTTTGTGTTTCCAACATATCAAAAACATCTTGACATTGACATTCAGACATTCAACTTTTCATTGTCATCCTCATATTTTTATGTCACAGAGAATGAGCATACAGTATTGGTAATGACAATACATATCCTTTTATACTGAACTAAACTTCACTTTCAAAAAAAAAAGAACACGGTTTAAACCGGGGGGGGGGGGGGGCTTACACAACCTATTTTTATTTCTGGGTCAATTGCTCAAAAAAAAAACTTTTAAAAAGTAGTAAAATGTTAACCTAATAATGACAATGCAACTCATTGCTGATTTTTTTCTGGTTGAAGAGATTGTACAATGTACACTTGTTCGCCAGCTGATAATCTAGTAGCTCTATCGCGAAAAACGAAACAAGTCCTTGTTCATTTTGTTGTCCAACTGAAATACTCTAATTCCTTTTTTACAAGACATCTTTCAATAATTCACTAAAAGTTACCTACCACTACAGCTGCAAGGAGCTTCTGTTCCAAAATATCCTTCTTCTCATTCTTCTCTTGATTGTTAACTTTATAAATCGTCATTTTCGTGTCTTCTGTTTACGAGAATTTGTTGTCAAAATGGCGTCTTAAAGTCACTTCAGGCTATTTATAGACTACAACGAGCGACAACTCCGTTCTAGGGTCAGCTGTTCAAAAATGCTTGGAAAAAACCAAAAGTATAATTTATATTTAGGATTATTAAATAATTTTTTTTTTTTAAAAATCCAGAAATATTTTATTGTCGAAAGTGCTTAGAGGGTTCGGGGACTTAGTATAAAGGTCCCTGGAGGGTTTGAATGGCAAACAACAATATTTTGTGTTTAATATATTTTTTAAAAAACAAAATCGGCACAAAATGAGGGGAAAAAAAAGAAAAAATTCAAATATTCTTCAGAAGGACATTTTCTATTAAAAATAGAAAAAAATCCTATGATTTTTTATTTTTTTACTTTTATCGACTATTTAAAAGAATTTAACTCCCTATTACCAGTTGATTACAGATATCTTTCAGATCGAATAAAAAAAGAGATTCAAACACTACCGTGAAAAGATAGAAAGATTGGATAAACAGAATTTTGTAATAATTGAAGAAAAAATATATCCCATCCTACCCCGGATATGTGTGTGTGTGGGGGTGGGGGGGGTCTGGTTTGGAGTGCTAACAAATAGTCGAATATTAATTAAATATAATTCGACGACTTGATCGATATCCAAATATGAATATTTAAAGGAAGGGGGGGGGGGGGGTAGTACTGGATATCGAACTGTGACACTACTGTGTGACATTCAATGTTGTATCTAAAAAGTTTTTTGTTCTGGGATTTTGAACTTAATGGTATCCTAGTAATTAATAATCCCCGTCTTGAAAATATGATCTGATGTAGTATCATAATTTAATTCGGTAGTGTATACCAGCTAGAAAACTAATGATCATTGACCTTAAATTGCGTAGGTTAAAGTGTCATTCTGTTCTGTTGTATCAGGAAGTATATGATTTAATACCTTACTTGATTATCTCTTACTGTACAAGTACATGTATACGCATCCTTATCTTTTTGCAAATCAAAATCTAAAAATAAAATATTTTTTAAAAAAAACTATGTGTACCAAAGACTGCAATTCTATCTCTTAGTAGACATGTATATATCTTTTAATATAAAACTAAAAAAGATGATATAATTGTAAAATGAATCAGGAATCATTTATTCTATGAAATATATCTGGCATACTCTAAACGAATATTAGAATATGAATTATATTTAAAAAACTATGTAGCCCTATAGATTTGTTGTTTTCTGAAAGTTATTCATGTTATTCTTTCAAAAGAAAAAAATTAATTGACCACACTCTTGCAGAAACTCTATAAGTTGGTGAATATTTATAATTTATAAATCTATAATATTTTATCTTGAAAAGGATAGGGTGCTAACACAACTGACACATCCTTCCCACAAGTGCTTAATTTGAGGACATGACCAAGTTTGTGAACGGCACGGTGTAGGGGAGGGGTCTACCATTGAGTTTTATCTTCAGAGAGAGTCAGCTATTACTATTCCTTTTAAAAGGGGGAGTCCAATTTTACTTTTTTTTTTCTTTTTTTTTTCCCCCCCCCTCCACCCCCGGCAAACTCCAAGTCGTGGCTTGAGACTTGGAGAGAATCGTACATTTTGACTGTGGTTTACGACGATGATGTGGTATTTTTAACTCTAAGTCTCTAACGGAGTTATCGTTCCCGCCTGCTTCTGGTGATGCAAATATGCTTATGACGTCATAGAGATTTAACCAAACAATGGCCCGACGTCACAATGGCTACTATGTTTTCATAGTTTCTATGTTGAATATTCAGGTAAGACTTGTTTAGGCTCTGATGGCCAATCCGATACCAGTTATAATATTTAGACTAGTACAAATTTTGTTCACTCTAAAACGAGAGCCTCTTTCTTTTTTAGTTGCAACGAAAGACAATCGAAGTGCTGGGTAAAAAGCCTTAAAACAATGGCTAGCCAGGATCAGGCGTCGCCATCAGACGAGAGCCTCTTTCTTTTTTAGTTGCAACGAAAGACAATCGAAGTGCTGGGTAAAAAGCCTTAAAACAATGGCTAGAAGCTTATACAGATGCCATTGGTGGTAAATAGTAGTTTGCTAACCATATAATACAATATACATATAAATCATAAAGTTAACTGACCATTACTTGATCTCTTACTTGATATATTTACATATAAATACTCGGGGGGACTGTGTTTGTTATTAAACCTCCCTCTCTGAAAAAGTAGGGGAGTGCGTATAAAGTGTGAGTGTCACGAACTTTGCCATTGTACAATGAACTCATACGGGTGATCTCTTCCTTTGCTTAACACAACACGAGGACACCCGCGGGCTGTTGGTATCCGATGATGGTTGACATTCGACCCATCTCTTATCTGTTCATACCAAGTAATTGGAGGGGGTGGCGGTGTAGGGGCTGTTTAGCATTTTTCTTCATATATATTCAATTGATCCAGTTTTGTTTTCTTTTTGGGAAGTGGCCTGGGGAAGGAGGGGGGGGGGGGGGTGAAGATTGGGTTTTATTCATAAGGTTTATTTGCCAGAATCCTCTCATTCCTGCTTTTCCAAGTTTATTAGGAAGTAAGAATGAATTTTATAAAAATGTTATTATTGGGTGTGGTACAATAAATATACTACTAGTAATTGTTCTTTCGATAAAGAATATTAAATATAATTTTACTGGTAAGAGGGAGTGTAACAACCTGAAGGTGTATTGTTCTGATGTTTAAAGAAAGATTGAATGTATACGTTATTTTCTGCAAAAATTCAGTTATTTCGGTGGCGCAGGGGCGCTATCGACAATCACATGAATACCCTGATATATACGTAAAGGGAAGTTGAAAGAAAGAAAAATATATATGGAATCTTTTTTCGGTATAATTATTTTATGATTTTCATCAATGTTTATAGATGAAACTTAATTATATCATATTCCTATTAACTTAAAGTATTGCAAGTTTGTGTTGACCCAACCAGAACTTGGAAAACGTGAATGAATACCCAGTATTTATATTTTCGAATTCAAGTTTCACGACCCCTTCTCTAAAATACGGTTAATGTGTAAATGAACGGACAATTCCATATTCCCATTTCTTTTCAGATCATTTCGCAGAAGAGTTCACCGAGGATGCATCTTTAGAATGGGATTGTTTTGCAGATGAAAATTATGACATCATATGTCATGCGGAAAAAGTTGATGATTTTTACTGGGCTGACATCAGTAAGACGCAGTCTACTGATAAAAAAGATTATCCAGTTGGAGATGGACAGAGTCTGGATCAAAATTCATCCTCTCTACAAACTACAATCTGGACACCGTTCAAAGAGAAAATACCACGCAAAGAAAACTCAACTGAACTTTTATCCGCAACATCTTCCATGACGGATTATTTCAGTTGTTTTGATTCAGATTCTGACGATGAAGAAAGGAAAGAAACTCGGCATTTTGATGCAGAGTTCTCTAGTTTGAATCTCTGTCTAAATATCTCAGTTACGGATAGAAACAACGAGCCTCGGATTTTCATTACTACAAAGACGGAGAGAAAGAATCAGTCCCCAGAAGGAAATTCCAGATGGCTGTCTGAAGAGACAGATCTACTTTGCAATGCGTCAGAATCCTCATTTCTTTCCGAATTCGATGATTACGAATTCATCAATTTTTCGGATTTGCATTCCATGGTAAATGACCAGAACAATTTAAGTGTAACACGGTATCGCCTAGTAGACATTTCAGATTCAGATATGGAATACTTTCTGGAACACGTTCCCGAGGCAGATATACAGCCAAAGGAATTTTTGCCTTCATGGTGTCAAATTTTCAAACCAAGTACCGAGGAAATTTTCAAACCAAGTACCGAGGAAACAGAAAAGGAGGTAACAAAGCATGATGTTAGAAGTATTGTGGACTCTTTTGAGAGTTTGATCAAAGCAGAAGAAGACAGCTGTAAAACGTCATCTCCAAAAATTAGAAAGGACGATCAGGTCAATGTGAAAGTTGAAACTGAATTGGTTAAAAGGGCTGAAAAGAACTTCGAAACAAACACACAGGAAACAGTTACTACATTCATAATGGATTATGAAGAAGATTATACAGACGAATGTTTTCAGGTCTTTCGAAAGTTAAGCGAACGCATCATACAAGAAAGTTTCCACGAACTAGAATTGGAGTCACAGTGTGATTTGTCATTAATGAACACTGAACAGGTTATGCCCTGTGGTGGTGGAATTGAGGCATCGAATTTTGAAGGAGAACAAAGCCAGTTCATCAATACAACAAAGTATCTAAGCATCGAGGAGAAGAAAGTTCCACTTGGTCAAGAGGATGATGAGAAGTTTATAATGGCTTTGGAAGCCACAAAAATTAAAGATCAGGCAACAAAACTTACAATTCAGGCACAAATGAATTGTGAAAGAGAAGAAATCGTCAAAAGCATTTTCTATACTCAGGAAAAGTTTAGTTTGCCTTCTGAAATGCCAATTCAAATAAAAGAGAAGTATTTTGAACAAAGCAATGCGCACACATCTAAGGACATTGCTATGATAGATAAAGGGAGTATGGAGAACGAAACGGACCAGGAAGTATGGCGCAAACAAGGTCAACTGGTACCTGTCGCATGTACCTCTGTGGAAATTCCTTCGCAAGTGATTATTAGTACATTGACACCAGTATATAACGCTTTAGAAGAATACAATGATCACCGTTACATTTGTGCAGGTGATACTGTCCCAAAGGCTGCAACATTCAGCAAACCACCAGCTTCCTACAAGGAAAATGTTCCTGTAAGAATCGGCCAACAAAACCGAGAATATAACACACGTAGTTTTTTCACAATCTTTTTAGATCATTTAGATTATACGTCCGCTCCTGTGCAAGAATACATCCAAGAGGAACAAGAAATGGTATGGAATAAATTCGGACAAATCGTACCAGTTAAGGAAAATTGCTCAAACTTTAAACAGGAACAAAATGCTTATTCACTTCTCCCTTTTCAACAAGAAAACAGCAGTATGGGAGAACAAAAATCCAAGCATCCTTTGCAAACAACTTCAACTAGAAGTACAGGAGAAGAGAACATCCGTACTGTGGTTCCTCTACAGAAAAATTTGTTCGACTCACAAAAAGGGGATGGGCAGAGGTTTAGAAATGCCAGAGAAATGAGGAACGGAAAAATTGTACCTACACAGGTACACATTGGATCTCTTCCTTTACACCAAGCAGACAATAGTTTATATAATCAAAAACACTTGAACCCTATGGAAAACACTCCTTTCAGAACTGCTGATAAAGAAAAGAATCGTACTTTGGAATCTTTGCAGAAAAATTCGTTTGAGACACAAAAAGGGGTTGAGCAGAGGTTTGAGAATACCAAAAGAATGAGATGTGAACAGATTGTACCTGTTGAGGAAGATCGCTTCAAAACTACACTGGAACATCTTCCTTTACACCAAGCAAAGATAAGTCAGGGTAATCAAGAGCAAAAAGACCCTCTCCAAAACGCTTCTCACAATATTGCTGATAGAGGGTACAATCGTAATCTGGCGTGTCTTCAGAAAACGCTGTTTGAGTCACAAAACGGTGATGGGCACAGTTTTATGAATGTTAAAGGAATGAAGGATGGAAAAACTACACAGCACACCAAAGAGGAACTGTGTGGCCCAGTGTCAAAATACACACAGAAACGTCGATCCAGAATGACACAAGACAAGCCACAAGAAACTCGGTCAGAGCTTACAAACGTACGAAACATATCGGAAGTCCTTGGAAAAATTGAGAAAATCTGCCTTGGTAAGACTGTGCATCTCCGGCAGGAGTACATTATCCAAGACAAAGGGAACATTTCAACTGATATATTCAAACTGGCATCAGATCATGCTGCAGTTCCAAATCCTTGCGTTTTCCAGAAAAGTTACGAGCCTGCGCGATTGAATTCTGAAAAATATCAATTCAAGAAAGGGAATCGAAGCTCATTACCGGCATCTGATAAGAACACAAAGAAAAGCCATGGAACAGGCCAAGTGGAAGATGATGGGAACAGAGAAAATACACTCAAATTGCAATATCAGTCGGCGGAGAGTACAATTAGACTAGAATATACTCGTCAAGATGAAGTCAATGCAGGCTTACAAAACAAACAGGAGCAGGATCTATCCCTGGTACCTGCCGGGATACCTGGGCATCAAGAACCACTTCCAATTAACAAGCATTCCAAGAGGATTATCGAACACGGCAAAACTGTTTACATGGATGAAAATAGCTGGCGTTCACAGGGTAGAGTGGCTAAATTATGTAAAATTTTTGAAGACAGTGGGTCGAAAGTACCGAAAATTACTTATCGTCTGTCACAGGGAACCAACAAATCTCCAGCAGTAAAACCACAGCCCCGTCTTATAGTAAAGGAGGAGGGTCCAAAACAAGCTACCAGCAAAAAAGAAGACAAGTCTCCTAAAAGATTTGACTTTGATAGATATCTCCAAAAGAGAGGGGAAAACTTAATGACAAGGAAGGATCACAATGACATCAGTGATGAGTCCTATTACCATGTGGCAAAGTTGCTGACTATCCGAATCATTGCCAATGCCAGAATAGAAGTTTCCAGGGAGTATATTGAACACGATTACTCCAAACAAAAGACAGCGAGAAAAGAAAAATTGGATGTTCCCCCAAGAACTAGCTTCCCACAATCAACTTGCTGCAGTGCCAATATGTTGAACGATAAAATTTGTAGAAGAGATGCAAACGAATTTGCTCCTCATCATTCCAAACAAACATCAGAGCTAACACAGCTGCAACGGAATAAGAAGAATGAAAAACCAAAGAATGTTGTGTCAAGCAAAACATATCGTAAAACTTCAAAGGAAGAAGCTCAGCCAAGGGAATATGAAGAAAGGAAAGCTTCCGGACAGCATCAGGGGAGACAAAGAGTTTGGCTGAGGGAGGCAGAGCAGTGTAACGGTTACCTCCCCAACCCTCCAATAGACCAGAAAAGAAAACGAGTTCAATTCGATGTCTAAAAACATATCTGTTAAAAAAAGTCATTTCTGTGAGGTTAAACTGTGAAGTATCTAATTTTTTTGCATGTAAAATAAAATTTAATGCACATTTCTTCCTCTTTTGTTCATTATCAGAAATGCTTGTGCCAAGTAATGAAATATTATACATTTATACTTTGTTTATAGTCCATATAGGTGAATCAATCACAAAAAGTTTCAGGTTTCATAATACATGTATTCTGTACAAAAATTACATTTACCGTTACATGAAATATGCATCTACCGGCTTCTATGATAAATGGAAATATTAGTTAAAAGGCAAGTGTATTGAATTTTTAGTTAAAGTGAGCACAAGTACCGTATACAGTACAAGACCAATGTTATACCCATGAAGGGAGATACATTTTAAGCATTTTGAAAGCTATAATGCAGGTGTCATCTCATGCCGTTCTTCACCTAGAATTAAACACAACATGCTTTATTGAGCAAACCTATTCATGAGCTATTGATGGATTGTATGTTGTTTTATGTCCCATTCAAGAATATTTCACTGGTATAGAGATGTCACCATATATCAGTGAAGGGATACAAATTTTGACCTTAACTTGGCACTCAGGGCCATTAAGCAATGAGGGATCTTTGTCATGCCAATGTCTAACGTGACCCAGCTAGGTTTTAAAGGTCTCATCCCGAGGACCCGCAACTTTCACTTCAAGGTGCTGAACACATGGTAAAGGAATGGTTGCTACATATATTTTATGCACTTGGGTCAGATTTGAACTCATGACCTGAACACGGAGGGAGCACTCCACGGGCTGTCATGATGGTCATGTACTATTGTCATACCAACAAGTTCAATGTCTTGCTACAGGTATTTCCTACAGATATCTCTAAAATCAGTTGAAATATTAGATGACATTCTGCGATTCCTATTGCCAGATACTCTTTGACTTGAAAGCTCATTATCAATGCATAAACATTTAAATCTCAACTAGTAACAACACATGAGAATCTGTAATTAATAAGTAAAGAGTGATTTACTTTGTTTGGTGTTTTATTATTATAGTTCCTATAAAAAAAGTTCTGAAAACATTTAATAAAAAACAACATTAAATAGGAATGAAAAAAAGCATAATAAAAGCCTTATAATTGCAGTGAGTATGAAATATTGCCATATAAAACTATCAGCTACTCCTTACATATCACAGATATGAGCATCACAGTCCTAAAGGTCATGACCTGCAGTGACCTATTTACATGTGGTTAAAGAGTTTTACAGACAAAATAAATAAATATAAAAGGTACATGTTACAAAACAAAGGAATCAAACAAGAAATATGTATCGGTACCTGTGTTTTCACAGAGTACAAAATCATTCCAGTCTCACTCATTTCCATTTCATTTCAAACATACAAAATAGTATGGCTCCTGAAAAAAGATATTTTTTACAACAGATTTTAATTAACAATTGAATGCTTTTATTTCTTACCATATATATACATATCAAAAACATACATGTTTCATTTATATACATTAAAGTATATCACAGTGCTAATTATTTAACAAGTGCTAAAGGTGTAGATGGACGGATAATTAAGAAAACATCTTGTGTAAGGTAATTATCACCAGTTTTATTCATTTGATTGTTATATTTTGTCCTCCAGTTCTGACTGTGGAAGACATTTCCTATACAAATTATCACAAGATGAAGTCTCACAATGGATTCCACATCAGTTTAGCCATTGGTCAGGGAATATCTGTCAAAGTCTGATGTACTCTACAGAGGATAAAAAACAGTCATATAATATAATGTTAGTACTTCAAATCTCCTACTGAATATAACAATATCTGATGTACTTTTCACAAAAGTTCATGGAGGACATATTTTGAATAATGGGGAATCTTAAATAAATGCAGTTTACAACTGTATAACACTTTGGGATCAAAAGCACAGAAACTGACCTGCATGGAGATGCAGGCATTTGTCTCATTATCTATTCACACATGTAGTTTTAAAAGATAAAAATTCCACTTACCAGTAAAAGGATGATATACATTTGTATTTTAAAACATACAGTTTACTTGTGTATCACCAGACTATGCAAAGCACAAAAATCCCTTCCAGTATATTGCAGATATTAATTTGGATTTTCTTTTAAAATTTAACTAGGCTTTACTAAGTATGTAGTTGACATTTCACATTAAACATTTATCTTACATAATTTTTAAAACAAGAGGCCCATGGGCCTTGTAGGTCACCTGAGCATTATGCAACAACTTTCCAGTGATTGAATTTGATTCATGTTTTAATCCAGATGCTATGGCATTCACAATTTTGAAATAGGCACCATTGATCATCATAACAATACACTTAGCAGTTGCTTAGTTTGTTTACTTAATACCCATAGGCAGGGTAGGGGAACAAAAACTGCATTTCAAGTAATCAGTAATATTCAGCATGATCAGTAATGCCCCAATCACACATGAACCCCTGACCCTTAGGCCTAGATCCACACATTGCACAATTTTTGAAAAGGCACCCTTGCTTTTCAAAAATATTTGATAAATACCAAGGAGCAAATTTCAAACAATTCATCCAGTTTCAGTATATAAGTACAGCCCCCCCCCCTCCTTTATGGTACCCTTGACCCTGGGCCTTGAAATTCACAATTCTGGAAGATTAGGACCCTTACTCATCATAACTACATAGGTAGTTCATCTGCTTAATACCAAGGAGCAGAGAAGAAAACTTTCAAAGATTTAGTGTATTTTCATTGTATAACCAATAAAGCCCCACCCTATCACTAGAATCCCTGACTCTGGGGCCATAAAATTCACAATTTTGGAAGAGGCACTCTTGCTCATCATAACTATGCACTTATTTAGTTTATTTAATACCCAGACGCAGAGAAGAAGATTTTCAAAGAATTCATGTATTTTCACTATATAATCAAAAGAGCCCCCTCCCCTACACCAGAACCCCTGACCCTGGGGCCATCGAATTCACAATTTTGGTAGAAGCACTTTTGCTCATCATAACAAAGCACTTAGTTAGTTAATTCAATATCCAGGAGCAGAGAAGAAGATTTTCAAAGAATTCGAGTATTTTCACTATATAATCTATAGAGCCCCCCCCCCCCTTACACCAGAACCCCTGACCCTGGGGCCATAAAATTGACAATTTTGGTAGAGGCACTCTTGCTCATCATAACTATGCACTTAGTTAGTTTATTTAATACCCAGGAGCAGAGAAGATTTTCAAAGAATTCATGTATTTTCACTATATAATCTATAGAGCCCCCCCCCCCCTACACCAGAACCCCTGACCCTGGGGCCGTAGAATTCACAATTTTGGTAGAGACACTCTTGCTCATCACAACTATGCACTTATTTAGTTTATTTATTACCCAGGAGCAGAGAAGAAGATTTTCAAAGAATTCAAGTATTTTCACTATATAATCTATAGAGCCCCCCCCCCCTTACACCAGAACCCCTGACCCAGGGGCCATAAAATTCACAATTTTGGTAGAGGCACTCTTGCTCATTATAACTATGCACTTAGTTAGTTTATTTAATACCCAGGAGCAGAGAAGAAGATTTTCAAAGAATTCATGAAATTTCACTATATAATATATAGAGCCCCACCCTAACACCAGAACCCCTGACCCTGGGGCCATAAAATTCACAATTTTGGTAGAGGCACTCTTGCTCATCATAATTATGCACTTAGTTAGTTTATTTAATACCCAGGAGCAGAGAAGAAGATTTTCAAAGAATTTATGTATTTTCACTATATAATCTATAGAGCCCCACCCTAACACCAGAACCCCTGACCCTGGGGCCATAAAATTCACAATTTTGGTAGAGGCACTCTTGCTCATCATAACTATGCACTTAGTTAGTTTATTTAATACCCAGGAGCAGAGAAGAAGATTTTCAAAGAATTCATGAAATTTCACTATGTACTTATTTAGCCCCACCCTAACACCAGAACCCCTGCCCCCGGGGCCATGAATTTCACAATTTTGGTAGAGGACTCAATGCTGATTACAATCATGCAAACAGTTTGACTGCTTGATGTCCAGGAGTAAAGAAGAAGATTTTTAAAGATTGCACTAATTTTAGTGGTTTTTGCCCCACCCCCCAGGCCCCAGGGGGACAGGGCCCATGAAATTCACAATTTTTGTTCCCCTTCACCCATAGATGCTATATGCCAAATTTGGTTGAAATTGGTTCAGTGGTTTCAGAGAAGAAGCTGAAAATGTTCAAATGTTAACGCACGACGCACGACGCACGACGAACGACGACGGACGAAAAGTGATAGCAATAGGTCACCTGAGTTTACTCAGGTGACCTAAAAATTAATGCAAGTCAAGAGTTAAAGCTCTGCCATATAAAATGATAATTTTTGTCCCTGTTATTTTGAAGGAACAGTTTCCTTTCATCTTTACCATATTGATTATACTTACATCTACAAAGGAGGGGGTCCCTGAAAATGATACGTCCCTATTGTGTGGAGACTGGTCCATCAAAATAGTAGAACCTGGTAATTAACAAACATAAAGGTGAAATACAAACAAAGAAAAAAAAGAACACTGGGGCAACATTTTCAACATATATGTCAAACACATGTATGGATTTGTTTCGTGAAAACTCAACAGTACATTACCAGCTTACTAAATTGTCTGTTCTTTGAAAATCTACATATTATACTTTATAAATCATTTGTTACTAAACAATAGCTAGCTGTAACAGATCTTCTTCAGTGCTGCAGAATGTTAGCTATTGAATGAAATTCAGCTTATCTTCAAATCTTATTTCTCAAAGCAATAGAAATTTGACATTTTAAACAAGAGGCCCATGGGCCACATCGCTCACCTGAGCACTGTGGCTAGAAAAAAAGCAGAAATCAGTTTAATATTGGTTTAATATTTTTAGGTCACCTGAGTAAACTCAGGTGACCTATTGCTATCACTTTTCGTCCGTCGTCGTTCGTCGTCCGTCGTTCGTCGTGCGTTAACATTTGAACATTTTCAGCTTCTTCTCTGAAACCACTGAACCAATTTCAACCAAATTTGGCATATAGCATCTATGGGTGAAGG